TGAGAATTTAAATTGGGTGGGGGTCTCTTAAGACCATGAGCCTGGGTCAAGGGTGAAATGTAAAATTTGTTACTACCGGGTTCTGTGGGCGTGGCTTGGTGGGGGGTAATGTGACTGGGTGGGCGTGGTGAACTTTTTAAAAAAAAAACTTTTCAAAGCATTTTTTCTAATGCTTTGAAAAGCCTCTGCCGATCAGGTAACTCAGCTGGGATCGTCAGAGAGGCTTTTTTAAAAATACCTCTCTGATGATCCCGGCTGAGTTGCCTGATTGGCAGAGGGGTATTTTTTACCTCTCTGCCGATCAGGCAACTCAGTCAGGATCGTCAGAGTCTTTTCAAAGCATTTTTTTACCACCTCTTCGGCCATAAGGTTGCAGAAAAAAATGCTTTGAAAAGCCTCTGATGATCCCAGCTGAGCCGCGCAATCATCAGAGGCTTTTTTTTTTACTTTTAAAAGCATTTTTTTGTCAGAAGAGGTTGTAGAAAAAATGCTTTTAAAAATAATAAAAAAAAAAAGCCTCTGATGATTGTGCGGCTCAGCTGGGCAGGGGGGAAGAGGCAGGGATTTTGCTACTGGTTTTCCGAACCACCATTGTTACCGGATCGGGTGATCCGGTCAGAACCGGGAGCATTTCATTTCTGGCCTGGGTGGGTTTTCTGCAGAGTCTCTGACTCTTTGGGTGGGTCATCTCCAAATCCCCAGAGCCCCCGGGACAGGAAAGAAAAGAGTTTGGGGGAGCAGCCCAGATCTCATGGTTGTTCCCATAGGGGCAATACAAATATGGCAGCTCAGCAACTGAGGGGGAAAAAGAGGCCCTGAAATACTGCTAGGCCTCTGCACAGTAGAATTTTTTTAAATATTTATTTATATCCCGCCTTTATAAGTTTTAACCAATCACTCAAGGCAGTGAAGATATCCCACACATCTTCCTCCTGATTTCCTCACAACAACCCTGTGAGGCGGGTTAGGCTGAGAGGGTGACTAGCCTAAGGCCACTCAGCTGGCTTTGATGGCCAAGGAGGTACTGAAACTTACTTTCTAGCCCAGTTTTATGTATTTGACCTCAGCTCCAGAATCGAGATGGCAGCTTCTTGTGCACAGCTGAAGTTCCGTCCCTTTTAAAGGCAGCCCCCACAGCCCCATATATGACTTTATAAACCTTCTTCCCAAGTTGAAGGAAATCAACCACTGGTAGATGACCTGTATGAGTTTTACTGCAGGTTTGGTTTGTTAGAAGAATTATCCTTCTGGGTTCAGCTCCAAGTGGGGAAAAAGACACTGGAAACATGGAGACTGCTTGGAAAGATGGTTTAATGGTGGACAGGATCACATGGTTTGAATTCCTTAACAGAAAAAGGAGCCGAGATGCAGTGAGTCCCTCGGGTTTTATGCCCTCTCTGGCTTTGAACTTCCTGGGGCCCAGAAACAGTATCCTGATTGGTTGTCAGGCTCCCAGGGGGTGGGGGTCTTAGCTAGCCTTGCTGGCTGATGTAATCTTCCCAGGTGCCATGTGATGAGTTTCTGTTGCTAGATGGGTCCTATTGTGTTGCAGATGATGGTCCATTGACAAAGATTGAGTTTCTGCCTCTGGCCCATTGACAAAGGGTGGGGGCAGGAAGATGGGAGCTGCTTCGTCTTTAAAACATGCTTCTCCATTTCTTATTCAGGGAAACATAATATTCTGCCTTTTTAATATTTCCCAAAATATTTTTTTTTTTTGCTTTGATTTATATGCCACCCTTCTCCGGAGACTCAGGGCGGCTTACAATGCGTTAAGCAATAGCCTTCATACTTTTGTATATTTATACAAAGTCAGCTTATTGCCCCCACAATCTGGGACCTCATTTTACCTACCTTTGAAAGGATGGAAGGCTGAGTCAACCTTGAGCCTGGTGAGAATTGAACTCGCAGTAATTGCAGGCAGCAGATGTTAATAACAGTGCTTTAGTCCACGTTCATTCCTCTAGGAAAGGGGTGGATGCTAACTTCCTACAGATCCCAGAAAAAGGGGGATCCCGAACCACAGAAAGTGGGAGATTTCTTCACATTTGGGGTTGAGGGGCGGGAAATCCGAAGGAGCCGCTCCGTCCAGACGTTCTGAGCAAGGGAGACACGTGTTTCAAGAAAGGAAACTGGCTTTTTTCGCCCGTGAAGCGAAGCTGCGGCTTTCCCGACAGAGCCGAGCGGAGGATTCCCCAGTGAACAGAGGCGGGTTGGGGGGGCTGGGGAGAGGACCCGGCTGGACTGGAAGGGAAGTTTTTTGGAGGGGCGGGGGTGTCAGCGACCCCACATGATTGTGGGAGGGACTCTGTGTGCATGTGTGTTTGCGTGTCCCACCTTGACCTGCGGCCCCCCAAAAGACTGAACGGATCCCCCTCCCACTTTCCTCGCTTCTCTCTGCCCCGAACACTCTCCTCCAGCGGGCGAAGACAAGGGAGACTCTGCCCGGACACCGATGACGCTGTAGAAGGGAGAGTTCTCATTGGTTCTTCCGCTTTCCCGGCTTTCCCAATTCCCAAATTCGAGGAGAACGCTCCCTGCCCCTAATCCAGACCCACGGATGCCGCCTCTTGGGCTGGGAGCATCTTTGTCTTTCTCCTCTCTCTTTGGGGGTGCTTGTGGGGCAGCAACCATGGGATCTGCTGGGATTCCCCCGATATTACTGGTAGGGATGCTGGCCACGATCCCTGGAAGCGAAGAGGGGAAGGAGACCCCCGGTAAGGAGGGGTCTCGTCTGGGGGAGGAGCGGGGCTGAGGGGCGCCCTCAATCTTCTGGGGGAAGGAATGGGAGAAAGAAGCTGCTCAGGACCCCCAGATTCCCCCCCCCCGCAATCAAGCCCCTTCCCCCGGAGAACATTCGAACTGGATCTGCAGGACCCTTGCTCAAAGTAGGTCCTCAGCCAGGCCACAGCAGGCTCCCATGAAAGGTGAGGTTGGCAGCAACAGGATTTGAACCCAGGACCAATTGGTTCCCAACTGCGGTCCCGGGGCTGCTGCACCAGGAAGCAACTTCTGGAGTGGGGGGGGGGTCTGTCCCACAGCGTCCTTGGTGCTGAAGGTGGGTCCTGTGTGGGGTCTGGGGGGGGGCGTCTCCTGGGGGCACCTTTGCTCTGGGCTCTTGGGGAGGGAGAACGTTTCATCTCTCCAGGAGCTGCTGCTCGGACGGGAACTTGTGAATTTAATCAGGGCAGCAAATACAGGCAAAAACGGGGCTGCAGGGAGGGGTTTCTGGGGACCCCAGCCTTCTGGGCACTCTCTGCCTCTCCCCCAGCTTGGCTAACTTCTAAAAAAAGCTCCAGACTCGCCACTGCTGGGGGCTTCCTTCCCCCAGACTGAGTCGGAAGGAGCCCCAAAACTGTGGCCTCACTTCCAAAAGGTGCATTTTTTCCCCAAAAGAAAGAAAAAAATATTTTTTTTCCTTGAAAACGTTTAGCTTCTCATCTAAGAAGCTTCTTCGATTCTGACTGACGGGGGAGAGGGAGGTCGGGGAATGGAAGGACTTGTATTGTGTCACAAACAACAAATCCATCAGGAGATGATGTCCATCTGCATCTTTTGAGGACAGCCAAGTCCAACATCTGGACAGAGAGAAGCCCTGGATGGAAAGAGGGGCCAAAGCGGCCATCTTTGACAAAATGAGCATCCCTCCCACAACAGAGGTAGGTAGACCCCCCTCCTCCTGTCTACAACAGGGTCCTTTCCGCAGCCCCAGGAAGGCTCCGCACCCCTTTGCACCCTGATTCAGCACCAAATGACTGCAAGGAATATCAATCCTTCCATCCTCCACTGCTCAGTCAGAATTGAAGAAGCTCCTGGGATGAGAAGGGAAATGTTTTCAAGAGGAAAAAAACCAAAAAAGTCCAGTTGCCTTTTGGAAAAGCATTTTAGGGACAACCATGACCTGGAGGATGGAGGCTCTTCATAGAGACCCCGTCTCCACTTTCCCCTTTCAAAATCTCAGCAGACACAGCCTGGACTCTTGGGGATCTTAAAAGATCTTAAGGGGGCATCTAGTCCACCCGTCCAATCATACAAAGGGAGATTAGGGTTGAAAGTCATGGGATGGGGGACAAAAGAAACCCCTCACTGCCCTCCCGTCCTGGCATGAAGCAGCCCCCCCCCCCCCCGCCGAGATTGAAAATCTTCCCCTCACCAACTCTGCTTCTACTGGGGGGTGGGTGGGTCTGAGTTGCTCTTCCAAACTCTCCCTTCAGTGAAGGGTGCTGGGGCCCCTCCCTTTGAGATGATCTTGGGGGGGGGGGTTACAGGAGGGGTCTATCTGGAAGGGGGACAGGAAAGAGGCCTTGAAAATCATTCAAAGAAAGCTAGTGGGGATGAATTTGGGGGGGATGGGACAAGAAAATTTTGGAGTATCCGGGGCAGGTGGGGGTCAAAGGGCTGAGAGAGCCCAGGAGTATGGGTGTAGGTATCCTTATTGTGATCCCCTCCCCAGATTCCCCCCCCCCCCAGGAAGAAGGATAGGAGAAGCATGGATATTACTTTCCTTGCAGCCCAGTTTCTGGGGGTCTCTTCCCTTCTCTCGTATTTCCTGCCGCTTTGGGGGGCAAAAAGACCCCACTAGGTCCAAGGTTTTCTCCAGAGTGTTAGGCGGACTGCTGGACCAGTTGAGTGTCTGCCTGCCTTTTTCCACCCTGGGAAGATGGAGGCCCATCAGGAAGCGCCTCCCCTTCCCCTCATTTTCCTCTCCCCTCCAGATCTCCACTAGGGGTGGATCCCGCTGGGACCGACAGTTCCCCATCCCTCCTCTAGAGGGCATCTTCTGGTAGCCTCTTGTGATAGGTTTCATGCCCCTCCTATGAGAAGCGTGGCTCCCTTCTCTAAGTAGCCGCTGGCAATGATGGGCCCTGGACTCTGATGGGTTCCTCCTCCTTCCCACAGCCCATTTCCTGATCCAGTGGAGCCCTTTCCTCCCCCCTCTGTGACTGCACAGCCATCTTGTCTGTTATGACCCCTCCCAGTCCATCTCCTGAAAAAGGCCCTTTTGATTATTTTGAACAATACTTTTATTAAGGATTATATGCATAGAAAGAAACTTAATACAAATATCTGTGTGTGAGTATATGAAAAAGACAATGAATAAATCCCTCCAAAAAAAACAGGACAAAGAAACTTTCCTTCTTCATCCTCAACAAGTATATTCAATACCAAAACTTTATTACTAAATATGCAACCAGCTGCATCTTCCTTCTACACCTCACTGCATTTTTTCCTCTCTAAATCTTCAGTTCTCCTGATTGATCAACAAAGGGCTAGTAAAAGAAAATAACAAAAATATCTGGGTGTCTTACTTAACAACTGGAAAAACTTGCAATTGGAAATGCATTCCCACATGATCGTAAGTCCAAGACTTCCTGTACTCTACAAAACATTATATATACTCCCCACACATATGTAAGTCTTTTGTGTAATCACTCTGGGAAGTTCCTAATGCTGTTTTGTGAGCAAAACAAATTCACACTCCCAACATTTACGCCCTTTCGCCTCATTGCGTACTCTGATGATATTTGAGGTTGCTTCTGCAGGAAAAATGTGTTCCCATTCCAAATATTTGTAGCATTTCCGTCCTGTCATTGTTAAGTTTCTGGTGAACTGGAAGGTGTGACTTTTGAAAAAAATGTTTCCCACATTCTTCACAACTGAAGAGATTTATTTTTGCTATGGGCTTTCTGATGCATTTTTAGCTGGGATTTCCAATGAAAAGTTTTCTCTCTCTCCACACACTTGTGAGGCCTCTCCCCTGTGTGATTTTTGGTGTGCGTGAGAAGTGCTGAAGGCTGGGCAAAACATTTCGTACACTCGACATTTCTGCGATTATCCTCTGATGTGGACTCTCTGATGCTTTAAAAGAGTACCTTTCTGAGAAAAACATTGATTACACTCGGAGCATTTATAGGGTTTCTCTCCTGTATGGATTCGGCTGTGACGTATAAGGGAACACGACTGAATAAATGCTTTGCCACATTCTAAACATTTGAAGTTTTTTTCCCCTGTGTGAATTTTCACATGAGTTCCAAGGGCTGCCGAGGTACTATAAAATTTCCCACATTCGTTGCATTGATATGGCTTCTCCCCTGTGTGGGTTTGATGATGGGTCGAAAGGCTTCCCCTGTGTCTAAAATGTTTTCCACATTCTACACAACTGTATGGCTTCTCTCCTGTGTGGACCCTCTGATGGTTTCCAAGGTGGTGTTTTAGGGAAAAGCATTTCCCACACTCCCCACATTGGAATGGCTTCTCTCCCGTGTGGATTTTCTCATGATTCTTAATCTCTCTTCGTGTAACAAAACTTTTCTCACACTTCTCACATTCATAGGGTTTTTCTCCTTTGTGCCTCTTCTGGTGTCTCCGAAACTCAGAAGGATCCACAAATCTTCTCTCACATTCTGGGCATTCATAGGGTTTCTCTCCAGTGTGAATTCTCTGATGTTGCACCAGGCTTGATTTCCAGGTAAAACATTTCCCGCATTCGAGGCACTTTTCGTTTTTCTCCCCTCGGTGTATTTTCTCATGATTGTAAAGAGATGTACGCAAGGTGAAACGTTTTCCACAATCAAAGCATTTGTAAGATTTTATTCCCGCATGAATCTTCTCATGGACCCTAAGAGCTGAAGTCTGAGAAAAGCTCTTCCCACATTCCCAACACTTGTAAGGTTTCTCCCCTGTGTGAATTCTCTCGTGGTTTCTGAGAGTGGCTTTTTCACGGAAAAAATTTCCACATTCCAGACATTGATAAGGTTTCTCTCCAGTGTGGATTTTCCGATGTTTAAGAAGGTTTGACATTTGACCAAAGGGTAAATCACATTCCTCACATTTATAAGGTTTTGGTCCTGGGGGGCTTTTGAGTCCTTCGATTTCTTTCCCAGAGAAGGATTTCACTCTCTCCAAACTTTGACTGGATCCGCTTCCCACATGGACCTTCTGGTGGGTCAAAACCAGGCACCAGAGAGGAAAGGATTTCCCGCACTCTGAATATTCATGGGTTCTTTGGTTGTTTGGAGTGCTGCTTGTGTCTGACGGGGGATCCAGGAGTTTCCCACACGCCATCCTTTTTGGCAATTGCTGCTTCGCTCTGATTTTTCTACCGTCTATTGATAGTTGAATTGCAGACAAATCTTTTATCCGGTGTTAAAAAGAAAAAGAGAGTATTACCATATTTTTCAAAATATAAGATGAACATTTCCCCACCTAAAAGAGGGTGAAAAATCAGTGGTGGGTTGTCCCCAGTTCGGACCGGTTTGCAAGAACCGGTAGTAAAAACGACAGGAGGCCCCGCCCAGTGTCCCAGATGTCATCGGCGGTCTGCGTATGCACAGAAGCAAGGCACGTGAGCGAGCGAAGTGATCCCGTTGCAAACCAGTAGTAAAGGTAAGTAGAACCCACCCCTGGTGGAAATGTGGGTGCGTCTTATACACCGAATACAGCCATCTTTGGCCTCCTGAAGCCCCGCCCCGCTCGTCCTATTTTTGCAAAAAATGGGCCCGTTTTTCACAAAAAAGGGACACGCAGAGGGTTTGAGAGGCCTGCAGAGTGCTCCTGGATGCTGGGGAGGGCAAAAACCATTTTTTCCTTCTTCAAAATCTTGGTGGGCTTATAGTCCAAAAAACATGGTATTTCCTTTTGAGAAAACACATTTTAGCCTTTGGGACCATGAAGGTCTTCCAATCCCACCACTTCGCTCCACAACCCTAATCCCACACTCTGGTTGCAATCATAAAGTTGTTCAAGGTTGACTCAGCCTTCCATCCTTTCTAAGGTAGGTGAAATGAGGACCCAGATTGTGGGGGCAATAAGCTGACTTTGTATAAATATACAAAAGGATGAAGGCTATTGCTTAGCGCATTGTAAGCCACCCTGAGTCTCTGGAGAAGGGCGGTGTATAAATCAATTTTTTTTTTTAAAAAAAAAAAGTAATATTGAGGGCTCTTAAGTGGGGTAAGGCCTAGGTCAGGGGTCCTTAAACTATAGCCAGCGGGCCATATATGGCCTGCCAAAGCCATTAATCCACCCCGCCAGGGGTGGGTTCTAAATTTTTTTACTACTGGTTCTGTGGGCATGGTTTATTTTGTGGGCGTGGTTTGATGGTCATGTGACAATTCTTTAGGATTTAGCAGAGGTACTGGTCTACCAGGCTTTTAACTGCTTGCAGAGCTGTACCAATCTACCCATTTGTTTTTGGAGGCACCGGTCTACCCATTTGTTTTTGGAGGCACCGGTCTACCCATTTGTTTTTCGAGCGCACTAGTCTACCACCACACTGCCTTTTAACACTGATCAGCTGTAGGGCGGCCCTTTGAAGCCCCACGGTAAGAGTTTAAACAGGTTTTTTCCTTCTAGCCAATCAGCTGGGACTCGGGAGGCAGCAAATAGATTGGGGATGGGGACAAATAAAAGGTAAGAATAACACAGGGGGGAGGGCCCAGCTCCCGAACAAAGAGAACCGGTTCGGTGACGTCATATCATCACTGCTACTGGCTCGGCTGAAGCGGGAGGAACCCACCACTGCACCCCACCCACATTGCCCCACCCACCCACCAGCCCCCACCCGCCTTCTGGAGGCCGGGTAAGCCAAAAGCGCGCCATACAGAGGCCTGCTAAACAACTTAAAAAAACAATCTATTAAAAACCAGTCAACCAAAAGAGCAACCTGCAAACAAAATGAATTAAAGCACCCCCAGCAGCAAAACAAATTAAAGTTTAACTTGTGTGTATTGTTTAATGGACTGCTAAATTGGCCATGCTCAACCGGTCACATGACCACGTAGCTACGCCCACCCAGCCGGTCCGGCTCCCCAACAGTCTGAGGGACTGTGAATCCCCCCCCCCGTTTAAAACATTTAAAACGAGGACTCATAGCCTAGGCAATGGTTGTGAGGCTCCCTCAGGGATGGGATTCATCCAGGACAGGGGTCTGCAACCTTAAACACTCAAAGAGCCATTTGGACCGGTTTCCCACAGAAAACAAAATACCGGGAGCCACAAAATCTGGGTGGGTGTGGCCAACTCGTCACTCCCACCCAGTCACATGACCTCCCCCAGCCACGCCTACCCAGGTTTTGTGGCTCTGGGTGTTTTCTGTGGGAAATGAGTCTCTCTCTCTCCCCCTCCCGCTCTTTTTTCCTTTCTTTCTCGTTTCCCTCTCATTCTCTCCCTCCAGCTCTCTCATTTGTGTCCCTCTCCCTCTCTCATTTGTTTCTCTTTTCCCCCTCTCTTTCATTCTCTCCATCATTTTCTCATTTCCCCCTTTTTCTCCCCTTTTCTCTCTCTCTCTTTCCCTCCCTCTCTCTTCCCCCTCTCTTCGTCAGAGGGAGGAAGAGAGAAATGAGAAAGAGAGGGAGGGAGGGAGGGAGAGAGAGAGGAGAGAGAGAGAGGGAGGAGAGGGAGAAATGGAGAGATGAGAGAGAAAAGGGGGGGGGGAAGAGAGAGACCTGTTTCCCAGAGAAAAGAAAATACCGGGAGCCAAAAGAAAAAACCTGGGTAGGCATGACTGGGGGGGGGGGTATTGTGACTGGGTGGGAGTGAGTGATGTCGAGATGGCCACGCCCACTCAGGTTTTGTGGCTCCGTGTTTTGTTTTCTATAATCAGGTCCAAATGGCTCTTTTGAGTGTTTAATGTTACAGACCCCCTAGGCTAGTGTAACCAAGCAACCGGTTTCCGATTCCCTTTTCTTCCTTCTTCTGATTTTGCACTCATGAGCTCCACCCCACCATGACTACTTGATCCTGACTACCTCGTCGAATATTTTGTATATTTCATAAAATACTACCAAAAGAAAAAAACATGGATCCAGGAAACTACAGACCAATCATCCCGACTCCATACCTGGGAAGATCCTGGAAAAGATCATCAAACAATGGATCTGGGAAAGACTAGAAACAAGAAAAGCTATTATTAGAAGCCAACATGGTCAAAAACAGATCATGGCAGACAGAACTTATTGCATTCTTTGACCAAGTGACAGAATTGGTGGAGCAGCAAAACTACTTGGATACAATATACTTGGGAGTTCTGTAAGGCATGTGACAAAGTAGACCGCAGTCTTCTTTTTGGCGAGATAGAAAAATCTGGGAGAGACAGCATTGTCACCAGATAGATTCATAACTGGCTGACCAACTGCATTATTCTATGCTTATTCTCCAAACCAAGATTTGTTTACTCACCTTTAAAGTTTCACTTAAGATATCTCTGGGTCACTTGTTACCCAGGGGTGGGATTTTACCGGTTCGCACCAGTTCGCTAGAACCAGTTGTTAGAAGAAATCTTGTTTTTTTCCACTTTACAGGGTTAATCCTGTAAAGAATTAAACATTCTGGTGGTGTTTCTAGCCTAATCTTTATTGCCCTGTTTACAGAAACTGCCTCTCCTTTAACCCTTATTACATTCTTGGCAGTACGCCTAGACTTACTGTCTCAGGAGCTTCTCTGAGTTTTTTTTTCCTTGACTTTCTTAAAGGGGAAGGGTTGTTTTAAGCTTTTTACACTGCTGTTGGAAAGAAATACTCCTTTGTTGGAGTTCTTCCAGCCAGGATGCAATGATCAGCACTTTGAAGAAATAATTGAATATCGAAGCAGAGCTGCCGGAAAGAAGCTTTTAATGACAATGAGTGACATTCAGCAAGGCTTCTTGGTAGCTAGAAAGATTGACATTCAAATGTGACTTTACATACCCTTTCTGACTTTTGTTCTAAAACTGGTTTTTGGTGAAGTTTAATTCTGTGCTTCATGATGTTTAATCCTGTGTTTATTGATGGGATAATTTTCACTATTCAGCTTTGTTTGGAAGGAAAAGTGTTAATCTGTGTTCCTGAAAACAAGCAGCTTCAGAAATCTGGCTACTTCCTGTGTCTATTTGTTCTGGTAATTGGTTTAACATGCAACAGCTACTGTGTTTGCTCTTTCCTTCATTCTGGAAAGCTTAAATGACCTCTCTGCTAAAGGGTTTCACTTTATGAGCAAGAGTTGGCTGTTGATAGTTATCATTGCATTTTAACTATTTTAATTCCTCAAAGTGCTCTGGCACCCTGCCTGAGTTGTAACTCCAACTTGCAGGTATTTCTAATCTAATGATTGGTATTTAGGGCAGCTTTTTGCAAGCAAAGAAGCTTTTTATATTTTTGTACAGGTAATCCTTGATTTACAAAAGTTCATTTAGTGACCATTCAAAGTTACAATGGCACTGAAAAAGTCACTTATAACCGTTTTTCACACTTACGACGGTTGCAGCAAACTGTCATTAGGGCAAAGAAGCTATGTTGAGTTGGCCACGCCCACCCTGTCACATGAAGGACCGCAGTTGTGAAATGAGTGACACGATTGTTAAGAATGCAGCAACGGGCATAAATGATGACCGGTCATAAGTGTGAGGACCAGTCAAAAGTGCAAGGACCGGTCAGAAATCACTTTTTTCAGGCCTCTGGGTAGTCCCTATGTGCATAGGGACTACTCAGAGGGCTGAAAAAGTGACTTTTGACCGGTCCTTGCACTTACAACTGTCCTCACATTTTATGTTTTGCACCCTATCTTGTCACCGTGGTGAAGAGAAGAACTGCAGTTGTGAAATGAGTGACGCAGTTAAGAATGCTGCAATGGGCATAAATGTGAGGATGGTCGTTAAGTGTGAGGACCGATCAGAAATCACTTTTTGCAGCCCTCTGAGTAGTCCCTATGCATGTAGCCACGCCCACCCAGTCACATGACCAGCTAGCCACACCCCCAAATAAGCCATGCCCACAGAACCAGTCGTTAAAAAAGTTGAATCCCACCACTGTTGGGATTTACCCCTCTAAATCAAGGCCAGGAAGCTGCTTCTCCATCCAGGCCACGATTTCCAGATCCTCTATATAACAATATACTTGGACTTCAGTAAGGCATGTGACAAAGTAGACCACAGCCTACTTCTTGGGAGAGACAGCATCACCAGCAGATGAGATTCAAAACTGTCTGACCAACCACACTCAATGTATAGTTTTTTTTTTCGTTTTTTTTTAATTTGATTTATATGCCGCCCTTCTCCAGAGACTCAGGGCGGCTTACAATGCGTTAAGCAATAGCCTTCATAGTTTTGTATATTTATACAAAGTCAGCTTATTGCCCCCACAAACTGGGTCCTCAATTTACCTACCTTAGAAAGGATGGAAGGCTGAGTCAGCCTTGGGTCCTCAGTTTACCTACCTTAGAAAGGATGGAAGGCTGAGTCAGCCTTGGAGAAATTCGAACCAGCAGTAATTGCAGGCAGCTGTGTTAATAACAGGGTACTCTAGACCACTGTGCTATCAATGGCTCCAATAGTCCTCAATGGAACTAAACTATGCCTTCACCCAGCACCTTGGATTTTTACTGCATTACTGTTTTGCCAAATAAAGATTTAAAAAATATATGCTTATTTTCCAAACCAAGTTTCATTGCCCCACCTTTAAAGTTACAGCCAAGAGGTCTCTGGGTCACTTGTTACCCCTCTGAGTCAAGGGCAAGGATGACCCTCACTGCTGACCGGTTTGATTTCTCCTTAACTGATTGGCCCTTCGTGCAGGAAACCGCTTCTCCAGCCGGGCCAAGATTCCCAAATTTTCTAGAACACCCCTTCTCCTCTCTAGACTTCATGGCCCCATCCTCACTGGTCTCCTGCAAAGAGAAATATGAAAAAGGCTCAGTTGCTGAGGGTAATGCTGAACATAATCTATAAGAGGAAGGAGAAAATAGAATTATTTCATGAGGATACAAAATAATGGGGACAGACATGATTTAAGAAGATCTTGATAAGTGAAAATGGAAGAAACCAGCAAGATGAAGTCCAACAAGGAACAATGCATGGGGCAAAGCATGTGTGAAAAGGGCTGGTTTTTTTTTCCTGCTCTTTCTGAAGGCTACAAAGCACAAAAGCTCTGTTTCTGGAGCTGCCTCAAATAGGCATTTTGAACAGTATTTTAAATTGAACTGCCCCCGGAGATACGGAATATCCCTGATCTCCGTGCTTTCCGCCGTGCCCTCAAGACCCTGATGTTCCAACAGGCAGGGCTAAACATACAAACATGTGAATGATTTTTTAAATGTGATCTAATTCTGGGTTTTATTTAATTGACCAAACTAAGTAATAATTTTAATTAGCAATTTTATGATGTTTGTGTGTCTATATTTTTCTTGATTGTACACCGCCTTGAGTCCTACGGGAGAAAGGCGGTATAGAAATAGAAATAGAAATAGAAATAAAATAAAAATAAATAAATAAATAAATAAATAAATAAATAAATAAATAAATAAAGAAAGAAAGAAAGAAAGAAAGAAAGAAAGAAAGAAAGAAAGAAAGAAAGAAAGAAAGAAAGAAAGCCAGGCAGCCTTCTAAAGCCATCAACTGGTTCTATTACCTGCTTTACAAGATTAGCCTCAAAACTCCCTTAGAATTTGTGCTTTGTAAAAACATTCACCAAAAATACCGTCAATAAAAGGAAAATACTGCATTTTAGAGATTCCACACAGCTTTTGAGACAAGACAAAGCTTTTGGGGCTAAGACAACCTGAGCTCAATTCATTTTTTCAGTTAATTCAGTTTGTTTGTTAGTTAGTTAGTTAGTTAGTTAGTTAGTTAGTTAGTTAGTTAGTTATTATTTATTTTCAAATTTCTATACCGCCCTTCTCCTTTCGGACTCAGGGCAGTGAACAGCCAAAATAAAACATTTATATACAAAAGTTAAAATAGGTTTAAAATAATTAAATAAGATTTGGCCCATAATTTAAAACATTTCAATTTAAAATCAGTATCAAAATTAAAAAAATTTTTTTTAAAGAAAAGTTAATCTTTTCTTTCCCCAAAACTCTCCTCTCCCCGTTGCAACGAGGTCAGAGCGTTTTAACACCACGCGACAAATCTCAATAAATGTATTAAAGCTCCGTTTACTCCGTTTTTGCAACTGCCCTCCCGACATATGAATGCTCAGAGACCTCGTGCTCCGACGGATCACGGAGAGACCTTCTGAAAGCAACTTCGCCACAGCTCCTTCCAGGATCCACCCGGAGCCCTCGGGGAGCCTTGGTCGGGGGAGGAGAGGGCAGATCCAGGGGACGGAGCTCTCTTTGCCACCCCTGGAGGGAAGGGAGGGATCCTTCCCTCCAGCCGGATCTCCCCGAGGAAAACCCTGCGAGCTGAAAAGCGGGATCCGCAGCTCCCTTCCTCCTGGCGGGGAGAGGATCTCCTGGCAGGAGGGGCGACCTGGAGGCCGGAGGGAGAGCAGCCCCACCTGAAGCGAGCGGGATCCAGAAACCTGTCCGGAGGGATCCAGCGCCGATCCTCCAAGGAAGAAGTGGAACACGAGGCAGCAACCGGAGTTCCAGCTTGTGGGAGGGAGGAGACCGGGGGGAGGAGGGGGGAGGCTTATATGATCCCCTCGGGCTCCGCCCCTTGCTTTGCAGACCCGCCCCTTAGGCTCCTCCTCCCCTTTCCCCTCCGCCCCTCCCCTCTAATCTCCCTTTCCAGACAGGACCACGTGCTCCGAAACCTCTCTTCCTCCGATGGGCGTCGGTGTCGAGGGTTCCTCTGCCCATGGGAAGAGTGTCTCTCTCTCTCTATACGGTGGAAACGGAGCTGCCCCTCCTGGTCCAGTGTGGTTATGTTAAGCTCTGCGGATGGCCCTGAAAGAATTGAGCAAAGGCAATGCAAAAGTTGTAGGGGTGGTGGTGTCCTTGATGGTCTTGGAGGTCGGTGGTCGGTCGGTGGGTTTGCGGAGCTGGAGAAGAGAGAAGGACCTCGAGGCCCGATCTTGACCCGGAGGAAGAGCAGCTCCGTCTCCCTTTGATTTACGGGCACCTCTTTCCTTGTATGTTGTGCCAAGGTGGGAAATAGGAGGTGGAAACCCCGAGTAGGAAGATGCCCGTTACCCAGGGCCGGATTTAGATGAAAAGAGGCCCTAGGCTATTCCACTTATGAGGCCCTTTCACCTATAGTGAAAGCGTAATTTTAATTTTGCTAACAATTTGAATGTAGGCCCCTCTTGATCTTGAGGCCCTAGGCTGAAGCCTAGTTAGCCTATAGGAAAATCCGGCCCTGCCGTTACCCGAGTGGATCAGGGCTTGTTTGGGATGGCGATTAGAACCTGGGTTATCGTTTCCACCGATTGTCCCCCTTGGAAAGGCAGGAAACGTTCCTTCTGTAAACTTTTGCTTTAATCGGGGTTTGTTGACCACCGATTAATTGGTTGGATTTGAACCCAATCCACAAACAAGCAAGAGAGAAAATCCCAAAACTGGGCTTTGAACTAACCTGGAACTTTCCAAGATATTCCGGTAGAATCTTTTTTTTTAAAAAAAAGTGCTTGGACATTTTGCCAAGAAATATCCGGGATAGGACCTGGGTGATGAGGCCAGGCAGAGGCCAAAAGAGAGATGCCCTTTTCAGTTTATTTTTTTGTTTAGGAACTCTGTTCAAAGGACGGGGAAGTCCTAGCCATCTTCAGTCAGCTTTTTTGTTTCTGCTAGAAGACTTGGTTGGTGATTCCAAATTACTGGATAGTAAACATTTAATTTAACTCTCAGGAGCTTTTAATTCAGTAATCCTTACCTCTTACAGTGATCTGCAATGGCCACTGGTGCAGAGCTTATAGGATGGCCCTCCGTTGTGAGAATTTAAATTGAGTGGGAGGTCTCTGAAGACCATGAGCCTGGGTGGGTTTCCTGCAGAGCCTCAGATTCTATGGGTTGGTCATTTCCCAATCCCCACAGCCCCCTGGACAGGAACGAGTGGGGTTTTAGGGAGCAGCCCAGATCTCGTTTGTTCTCATAGGGACAATACAAGCACAGGTAGTCCTCCACTTACAACAAGTCCATTTAGTGACCTTTCCAGGTCACAACTCCCCTGAAAAAAGTGACATGACCGTTTATCACACTTATGACCGTTTCAACGCTCCCATGGACATGCGATTGACATTCAGATGCTTAATGTTTATATTTATGACGGTTGCAGTGTCCTTGGGTTACGTGGGTCACCGTTTGTGAGCTGACAAGCAAAATCAATGGGAAAGCCAGATACACCTAATGACGGTGTTACTACCCCATCTCTGGCCAAAGAGCCCCTGTTGATTCAGTGCATGGAGCTTTTCATCCCGTCATCAGTTGTGAGGGATCCTCATCCATTCCTGGGCTGAATTGTGGCTCTTGGTCAAAGACGAGGTCTCCTAAGAGCATTAAGCCTTGGCTTTCTGCAGCCTTCATCCACGACCTCCGTACCTAACCGTCAGGGAGGAAGGTAGAAATGGGCTCCAACTGTCTCTTAATAAAGGCAGCTTCTCTGGTGGACATCTTGCCTCTGTTTCATCTCTTACATGGTTGGAACCAAACTCTAAGGTGCACTTCAGTGCCAGTGAGTCCCATCAATCTACAGCTGCCTTTTTTGGTAGCTGCTAGAAGACTTTGTTGGTATTCTCTCTTAACTGGATGGTAAACATTTTATATTAACCTGTGGGAGTTTTTAATTCAGATATCTTCAGGTCTTAGACTGGTCCTTAATAGCCTGACATTAACTGACTTCTGGGTTGCCTGAAATGCAACCTGTTATCAATTAACTATTCACACCAAACTGATTACATAATTCAAAATCACAGTTCCCTGTGGCTTACATGTTCTAAGTAAGATGTGGTCCAAAATAACCATGAGCGTGTCAGGCACATGTAGGTAGCCCCCAATGATCTGCCTTTAGGAGCAGGAGTCCATCCAAATCACCAAGAGCATTTTTCCTAAAGTTCATCTGAAATCTCCTCTTTTAATTCAACCCTGGAAGTCAGAAGTGTCCAGCTAGAGAAGATGGAGTCAAAAGAATCAAGATGGCGGATGTTTTAAAGGGCAACACATATAAAGCTAAAAAGGATTTTAACTGCAAACAATATGGCAACAATCAGACGGCCATCTTGACTTTTTTGAACTCCCAGCCCATGTCCTGAAAACAGTCCTGTTATTTTGAACAGTAACTTTATTATGGATTGTATACAGAGATCAAAGAAACTTAATACAAATATGTGTGTATGAATATATGAAAAAGACAATGTGGGAAAAAAAAGAAAAATTCCTCCAAAAAAGATAATGGGAAAAATAAAGTTTCCCTCTTCATCCTCAACAGCAGATTCAATATCAACACTAAAAAAACAACGTCATTTTCATTCAAGCCTCACCCCATTTTTATTGTCTCAGAATCTCCGGTTCAGCTCATTGATCAACAAAGAATTAACAAAAACACTTGTGTTTCTTGATTTATGACTGGAAATCCATTCCCAGTTATGGACATAACTCGAGAACTATCTGTACTCTGCAAAACATTATATATACTCCCCAAACACTCGTAAATCTTTTGGGTGATCATGCTGGTAAGTTACAAATGCAGCTTTGTGGGCAAAATATCCTCAGGCTCCCAACACCAAACAACTGGAGGATTTCCCTTCTGTCACTGTGTGAAATTGCTAATGAATGATTATGACTTTTGAAAAAAATGTTTCTCATATTGTTCACAACTGAAGAGATTTATCTCTGCTATAGACTTTCTGGTGCATTTTTAGTTCTGATTTACAATGAAAAGATTTCCCACACACTGCACACTTGTGATGCCAGTCTCCTGTGTGATTTCAGGTGTGCCTGCAAACTGCTGAAGGTTGGGGAAAATATTTTCCACATTCCAGACATTTTTTTCCCCAGTGTGGATTCGTTGATGCATCACAAGAGAATCTTTCCGTGAAAAACATTTATCGCACTCTGAACATTTGTGGGGTTTTTCTCCTGTATGGATTCGGCTGTGAACTCTAAGGGAAGATGAATGAGCAAATGCTCTCCCACAATCTAAACATTTGTGATTTTTTTCCCTTGTGTGAATTTTCAAATGACTTCTAAGGGCTGATATGGAAATATAAAAGCTTCCACATTCATTGCATTGATATGGCTTCTCCCCTGTGTGGGTTTTATGATGTGTCAAAAGGTTTTCCTTATAAGGAAAAGATTTTCCACATTCTACGCATCTATATGGCTTCTCTCCTGTGTGGACCCTCTGATGCCTTCCAAGATGGTGTTTTTGGGAAAAGAATTTCCCACACTCCCCACATTTGAATGGCTTCTCTCCTGTGTGGGTTCTCTTATGATCCTGAAGCTCTCTTGGAGTAACAAAACTTTTCCCACACTCCCCACATTGATAAGGCTTCTCCCCTTTGTGTCTCTTCTGGTGTCTCTGAAGTTCATGAGAATATATAAATCGTTTCTCACATTCTGGGCATTCGTAGGGTCTCTCTCCAGTGTGTCGTTTCTGATGTCGCATCAGGGATGATTTGTAGGAAAAATGTTTCCCACATTCAAGGCACTTTTCGTTTTTCTCCCCTGTGTGTGTTTTCCAATGACACTGAAGCGATGAACTCCGGGTGAAACAGTTCCCACACTCAAAGCATTTGTAAGGCTTTATTCCTGTATGAACCTTCTTATGGGACCAAAGACCTGACTTCTGAGAAAAGCTCTTCCCGCATTCCCAACACTTGTAAGGTTTCTCCCCTGTGTGAATCATCTCGTGGATTCTGAGTTGGGCTTTTCCACGGAAAAACTTCCCACATTCCAGACATTGATAAAGCTTCTCTGTTGTGTGGATTTTCTGATGTTTAAGAAGGTGTAACATTTGACCAAAGCATAAGTGACATTCATCACATTTATAGGGTTTTAATCTGGGGGGGCTTCTGAGACCTTTGGCGTCTTTTCCAGAGAAGAATTTCTCACCCTCTAAACCTTCACTGGATCCACTTCCCACATGGACCTTCCTGTGGGTCAAAAGGAGGGACCAGCCAGCAAAGGATTTCCCACATTCTGAGCATTCATGGGGACTGCCATGCTTTTTTGGAGTGCTGCTTGTGTCTGAGTGGGGATCCAAGAGTTTCCCAGGCTCCATCCTTTCTGCCGGCTCCTGCCTTGCGATGAGTTTCTACCAATCTGTTGATAGTTGTCCTCCCGGTAAATTTTTGGTCACAATCTCTTACTCATTGTTAGAAGGAAAAAGAAACAGAAGAATATTTCATTTTCATAAACGTAGAGAATCAAAAAATCTCTGGTAGGCAAACTCTTCTGTTGTTGTAGTTAACTGGTTTTGTGGGTTAAGTGGAGCGAGGCTGAGGCTTCATCAAATATCTATTAAAGAAATTACACCATTACTCAGCTCCTTGGCAGCAAAATCCAATTTCACCACATTGCTATTTTGTCAAATAAAGATAAAAAAAACTAATCCTTATTCTCCAACCAAGATTTATTTACTCACATTTAAACACCCGCGTTTATTTACTCCATACTTTATTTACTCACCTTTAAAGTTACAGTTAAGAGGTCTGTGGGTCACTTGTTCTCCCCTCTGAGTCAAAGATAGGAATGACCATCACTGCTGACCGGTTTGATTTCTCCTTAATCAATTGATCCTTTGTGGAGGAAGCTGCTTCTCCAACTGGGTCACAACTTCCAAACTCTCTAGGAGGGAGTCCCAATCAAAGGTTGGCGGGTTCTGATCCAAGAAGGTCCCTTTTTCCTCTCTGGAGTTCACGGCCACATCTTCACTGGTCTCCTGCAAAGAGAAATGAAAAAGGCTCAGATGCCAACAGTAATGCTGTACATAATCTATAAATGACCTGGAAGAGGGAGGAGAAAATAGGATTGTGTGGAGGATACAAAAATAACAGGAGATGGAATCGTGATTCAAGATGCGCCAAAATGGAGAGAAACCAGCAAGATGAAGTCCAACAGGGACCGATGAGGCATAGTTGTGAGTAGGAAAACTCAATGGTAAACAAGAGAGATCAGATGGGGAAGAGCATGAGTGAAAAGGGCTGATCTTTCCTGCTCTTTTCGGAGGCTTCAAGGCCATCAGGTTTCCTGAGATCCAATGGACAGGCATTTTAAAATCATGCAAGGCAACCTCCTGGCCATCAGCTTGTTCTACCAGCTGCTCACAAGACCAGACTCAAAACTTCCTTAGAATTTGTGGTTTCTAAAACATCCACCAAGGAGTATCTGCCACATCACAGCCCCTTCTTGGGCAAAACCAAGAAAAAGAAAGTTTAGAAATTTTTAAAATAGAAGCAAAGTGAACATAACCATACAAACAAAGTTATCTTATTTTTAGCATTTTTTTCATCGAGCTCAAACAAAGAGGAACTCTTGGGGTTAAGAAAACATGAACTCCATTCAGTTAATTTAAACCTTTTCTTTCCCCCCAAACCCTCCCCTCCTAATTGCAATGAGGTCAATCTGTGTTAAAAAAAACCACATTACAAATCTCAATATATGTTTTTTTTAAAAAATTTGATTTATATGCCGTCCTTCTCCGGAGACTCAGGGCGGCTTACAGTGCGTTAAGCAATAGCCTTCATATTTTTGTATATTTATACAAAGTCAGCTTATTGCCCCCACAACTGGGTCCTCAATTTACCTACCTTAGAAAGGATGGAAGGCTGAGTCAACCTTGAGCCTTGGCGAGATTCGAACCTGCAATAATTGCAGGCAGTTGGTCTTAATAACCAGCTTAATAACAGGGTGCCCTAGACCACTGTACTACCAAGGCTCTTTTTACCCCATTTTTTTTCAACTGCACTTGCGGGATATGAATGCTCAGAGAACTCTTGCTTTGACGGACCTCAGAGAGATCTTCTGAAAACAGCCTCCTCTTGCGGGGTAAATGTCTCTTGGCAGGAAGGGTGGCCTGGATGCTGGAGGGAAAGCAGCTCCACCTGTCTCGAACGGGATCCAGGAGCCTCTCCCGAGGGATCCAGCGGCGATCCTCGCCGGGCGAAGCGGGACACGCGGAGGGAAGGGGAGATCCAGCCAGTGGGAGGGGAGAGGCGGGGGCGGGGCTTTTGCTCTCCTCCCGGGCTCCGCCCTCGCCTTGCAGCCACGCCCCTTAACAGCCCCCACCCCCTTTCTGTCTTCCCAGCCAGAACCACGTGCTCTGAAGCTTCCTTGTCCGGGGTGCCTCTGCCCATGCGAAGAGCGCCCTGCTTTGCCGGGGCGGGGTTGCCTCCTGCTCCAGCATCCCAGAGGAGAACTGAAGCTCCGCGATGGCCGCCCAAGAGTCTCGGATCGCGGCGTAAAGAGGGCCGGGAATGGATGCGGAGGAGCCCGAGGAAGAGCCGCTCCGGGGGTGGCAAAAGGCAGGCGCCGCCCGGACTGTCCGGGTTCCCCTCCGCGGCTGAGACGGGACGGGGAAAGAGAAGCGAGGACGAGCCCTCCCTGCAACCGCGGTTGGGGGAGCGCCAGGGGGAGGATCGGGAAGAAGCCCCGAGCAGATCCCTTCTGGTGGATCCAAAGATCCTAGAAGAGCAGCTGGGTAGGTTTCCATTAGGGAACAGTATTTAGGGGGAATCCCTGGGTGGAGAAAGTTGGAATGAGTCAGGGGCGACGGGAACCTCCGATGACTTCCCCTCCGTCCTGTGGGAGGAGGGCTCTTTATGGAGCCTGGCTGAAGGTGGAGTGTGTGGAGGTGTCCAAGGGTGTCTTCCCGGTGGCCTTCCTGAATAAGGGGTGTGTTTATGTAAAGAGAATCCGAGTCTGCCAGGAGCCCCACAACTCCTTTACCCACCCTCCCCTCCAGCCGTCTTTGTCTTTCCTACTCTATGGATCCATCCCGGGAGATCCCTCAACGAATAGTCCTTAATGGTACTACATCCACATGGAGAGAAGTAAGCAGTGGGGTACCACAAAGCCCCTTCTTCAGCCCAGAATTCTTCAATATCTTCATTAATGACTTAGATGAGGGGATAGAAGGGGAACTCATCAAATTTGCAGATGACACTAAGCTGGGAGGAATAGCCAACACCCCAGAAGACAAGCTCAGGATCCAAAAAGAGCTTTTTTGGGCCCTATCCAAAAAAATAAACTTTAATGTGGAGAAAAGCAAAGGTTTACATTTAGGCAGGAAAAAATCAGTGGTATAAGTACAGATTAGGTGAGACCTGCCTCAACAACAGTAACTGTGAGAGGGACCTTGGAGTCCTAATGGATGATCACTTGAATATGAGCTACCAAATGTGCAGCCGCCGCCAAAAAAGCTAATACAATCCTGGGTGGTATAAACAGAATCAAGATCACAGGTTAACAAAATTACTTAGGAACCAAAAAGATTCTGATTATTACAAATGTTGGAATTCATGGTATAATTGGGTAAAAGAAAAGAGAGGGAAATGAAATGGATTGTATTAGTGGTATAGGCGCATATTTGTGTACATTAGTTGCAATAACCTTGTATGTATATATGTAAAATATTGTATTTTTAAAAATGAAAATAAACTTTGTATTTTAAAAAAAGAAGATCACATGTATTAGTACCGCTTTATAAAACCTTAGTAAGATCACATCTGGAATACTGCAACCGATTTTGGTCACCATACTACAAAAATAGATGTTGAGACTTTGGAAAAAGTTCAGAGAAGAGCAACTAAGATGATCAAAGGCCTGGAGACTAAAACATACAAAAATTGGTTGCAGAATTTGGGCTTCATTAGTCTAAAGTAAAAAAGGATTAGGGGTGACATGATAGCCGTATTCCAGTATTTGAGAGACTGCTGCAAAGAAGAGGGGGTCAAATTATTCTCCAAAGCACCAGTGCGCAGGACAAGAAACAATGGTTGGAAACTAATCAAAGAAAGAAGCAACCTGGAATTAAGGAGAAACTTCCTAACAGTGAGGACAATTAAACAGTGGAATAGCTTGCTTTTAGAAATTGTGGGTGCTTCATTATTGGAGGTTTTTAAGAGACTAGACTCGTGTCTCCTCCCAAACACCTAAGAGAGCACTATCACATCAAAGCAAACATAATTTCCAAGTTTCTTCTCTTTGGTCAACATGTCCTTCCTCTCTTCTCTTCCTAACTCAGCCAGAATTTCACCTTCCTTCTGCAATTCCTTCTTGTTCCTCTCAGAAATGCCTCTGGGGAAAGCATGTCATCCCATTTCACATGCAAAAGCAAGTGTAAGTGCACAATATTTCAGTTTCAACTTCCCTGGGCATTTTGTCAAGGTTTAGTTTACTTTACTTTAGTTTATTGATTAGCCCATAGGCCATATCAAAGTGCAGAGTTCCAAACATAAATTATTATTAAAATCTGACAGAAATAATGTAAAATGAGATTGGAATAGAATACAATTTAAAATGAGATGGTTTATAATTTAACAGATCGGTAAATAAAAATAAAATATTTTGGTAACTCCCCGCCCCCAATCACATTTTGTCAAGATATTTAAATTTATAACTGAAACGGAGGGGGGGTAAACAGTCAGAACAGTTACAGCTGATTGATTGAAGAGGGATAGCCCTGCAAGAGGCAATCTAAGCCGTGATTGGTTGCCTTGAGTGAAAAGAGGGAGGTTCCTTCTTTCCCGCCTTTTTGCCCTGGGTGCCCCCTGTGATTTACCTCATGATGTTCCTGCTCTGCTGATTCACCCGATATGATCCTCTTTGCTTCTCATTTAATGTAAATATATTTATTTATTTAAAAAAAAACCACACAGACACAATTTCCTGTCAGTGTCTTTGATTCCATTTGGTCACCTAATACAAAGGTGCTTTTTATCAAAGAGGCAACTGGACTTTGTGGTTTTTCTTTGAAGATGTTTTGCTTCTCATCCAAGAAGCTTCTGGATTGAAAATGTTTTCAAGGAAAAACCACAAAAGTCCAGTTGCCTCTTGAAAAAGGCACCTTTGGGATAACCATGGCCTGGATGACTTGAGTATCTCCATAGACAAATTCCCTGACACATTTCACTCCATTTAGCTTAAAAATCGAGTATAACTTAGGACAATTAAGCCCAAAATTTCTGTCAGAGAGGGACCTTAAACTATGATTATTTTTTAGCCCAGGAAGTGAAACAAGCCTTCATTTAGCATTATTCACCACTGGGGTGAACAATGTAAGAAAAGTGCACTCCAGAGAAATTAAAATGTGGTAGGATAGTGTAAATTCTTTTATTAAGGCTGGACGATAGACTAAAACATTTAAAAAACAAAAAACCCAGGCTAGATTATCGACTTTCATGCAGTTCCCACGGAAACAAAACTTCAATGAAACCTTAAAAGTTTTACTTGACAACCCTAAACAGGATTTCCTTTTTTATATATATAAATAACTTTTATTGTGGTTTTTCTTTTCCATAACTCTAATACATAATTAAACAGACAGTCATTTTTATATACTTAGATTAACAGTTCATGTAATATATACATTATATACATATATATACATCCTCAACTTCCTTGTGTATATTACCTATTTTTGTTTCTGTAAAATACCATTTTTCCCAAACCGCATAATATTCCGAATCATCTTTTTCTTTTAATTCTAAGGTAAGTTTATTCATTTTAGCACATTCATATATTTTCTATATGAACAATCCCTCTGGTGGTAAATTAAATTCCTTCCAATTTTGCGCGAACGCAATTGTTGCTGCTGTTAGTATATGTAGGATCAAATATCTTATTTTTTTATCATATTTATTTTATCATTTTAATATTCCCAGGAGAAATGTTTCTGGATTCAGCTCAATTTGACAATTTATTAAGTCTTGTAGCCAACTTTGTATCTTGGTCCAATACTTTTTCACTTCAGGACATAGCCACCAGGCATGAAAGAAGGTACCTTGGTGCTGGTTGCATTTCCAGCACTTTAGGCTTAGGTTTGGGTACATTTTAGCCAGCCTTGCTTTTTCTTATAGGCAATTGATTTTGTTAACGTGTAGTTTTTATTCCAAATTGTTTCCCACTCATCTAAATCTATGTTATGCTCTATATTTTTAGCCCATGCAATCATTGGTTCTTTCACCACCTCCTCTACTCTATCAAATTCTAATAAGTAATTGTATAATTTGGATATTAATTTTCTTTCGCGGCCAATCAGCAATTTATTTAGTTGTTTTAGTTCCATGTCAATTTTATATTCTTCCACGTCTTTCTTGTATCTGGATTGCAGTTGTAGGTATGGCCACCAATCAATGGATATTCTCTGTTCCTTTAATACCTGATTATTTTTAAGCTTTCCCTGCTTATCTAAAATTTCTGAGTATCTAGGCATTTTGCTGATATCTAATGTGTTGGGGTGGATCATAACTTCCATAGTAGCTAGCCAACCGGGGATTATCATATAATGTTTTTTCTTTGTATCTTCCCAAATTCGTAGCAGTGCATCTCTTATTTTATGTCTATAGAAATATGAGTATATCCTACTCCCTTTGTCCCACATAAAAGCATGCCATCCCTTTTGTAAATCATGCCCTTCCAGGGTTAAAATTCTTCTGTTTTTTAAATTAACCCAATCCCTTATCCATACTAACGTGGCTGCTTTGTGGTATAGTTCCCACGCTGGGAGTCCAAAACCACCCCTACTTCTACTATCTTGTAGAGAATGTAATTTTATCCTTGCCTTTTTTCCTGACCAGATGAATATAGTCGTAATTTTATTTAGTTCATTGAAAAATTTTCTGTCTAATTGTATGGGGACTGTTTGAAATAAATATAATATTTTAGGTAGAATATTCATCTTAATCGTCACTATCCTACCTAAAAGCGATATATGTGACGTTCCCCACTTTTCTAAAGCCTTCTTTATTTGTTGGACCAAAACCATATAATTATCCTCCTTTAGGGATGAACACCTCGCCGTTAACCATATCCCTAGATATTTGACTTTTTTAACGATTTGTAAATCCATTTCTTTTTCTAATTCTTTTTTCTGAATTATTGTTCAATTTTTAACTATCATTTTGGTTTTCCCTTTATTAATTTTAAGTCCTGATATTTCCCCATATTTTTCTATTTCTCATATTAGAATAGGGCCAGATTCCAGAGGTTCCTCAATAATAAATACCATATCATCTGTAAAGGCCTGTGCCTTGTACTCTTCTCTTATAATTTTCATTCCCTTTATTTCTCGATTTCCTCTTCTATTTAGTAATATTTCTAATGTTAAAATAAAGAGCAGTGGTGACAATGGGCACCCTTGACATACACCCTTAGTTATCTGAAATGTGTTGGTAATATCCCCATTTACTATTACCCTTGCCTTTTGTGTCTAATAAATTGCCTCTATCATATTCTCAAATTTAATTCCCAATTTCATTTGTCTAATTTGCCTAATCATGAATTGCCAATTTAGATTGTCAAAAGCTTTTTGGGCATCCAGAAAAGCAAGCACCACTTGTTTCTCTGGATGAGCTTCATAATATTCCAGGGTGTCTACAATTATTCTCATATTATCTCTTATTTGTCTATTGGGAAGGAAGCCATTTTGATCCGGGTGCATAGTCTCATTTAATACTCTTTTCAGCCTTTCTGCTATTATATATACATGAATATTTTGTAATCCGCATTTAAAGGATATTGGTCTCTAATTTCTGATTTGACTCTTATCTGTATCTTCTTTCGGGATTAAGGTGATGTATGCTTCCCTCCACAATTGTGGTATTTTTGATTCATATAAAGCTTTCTTACAAAGTTCCAATAACACTGGTTCCATAATTTCATTCAATTTTTTATCGACTTCCTCTGGGAGGCCATCAGGTCCTGGTGTCTTGTTATTCTTAAGTCTAAGGAGTGCCCCTCTCAGTTCTTCTGGTGTTATTTCTTTATTTAGCAATTCCCTTTTTTCCTCCTCTAGTGGTATGATCCCTTCTTCCAGTAGATAATTATCAATTTTATCCTTTGGTATTTTCTCTTGTTTGTAAAGATCCGCATAATATTTTTGTACAATTTTCTTTTTTTCTCCTTCATTATTTTGTGTGATCCCCATCTTGTCATCTAATTGTTGGATAATCCGTCCTTCTTTCTCTTTTTTTCAATTTATAGGCCAACCACCTTCCGGTTTTGTTAGCATGTTCAAAATAAAATTGTTTAGAATATTTTAAGTTTCTTGCGATCTCCTCTTGCTCTAATTCTAATATATTTAATTTATGTCTCGCAAGGGTCAAGGTTTCTTTAACAAATTCATCTCCTGGTTTTGTTTGGAGTCGCTTCTCCAAATTTCCAATTTCTTCCGATAAAATGTTATGCTGTTTCCATTTTTCCTTATTTTTCTTTGCATTCTAGGCTATTGTTATTTCCCTTATATAAGCTTTCATGGTATCCCATAAATTTATTAGTAAAGTGTTTTTTATTTTCTTTAAAAAATGTCAATTCTTTCGTTATCCTTTCAATATATTCCTTTTCCCTTAAAATTTGGGAGTTTAACACCCAACTTCTAATATATTTTTTTTCACCTCTCCATATTACCTCAAGGGGATTGTGATCTGCCCACGTATTTTGGGAGATCTCAATTTTTTCTATTTCTAAACCTAATTCCTTGTTCATCCACATCATATCAATTCTAGACCAAGATAGAATAGAATAGAATAGAATAGAATGGAATGGAATGGAATGGAATGGAATGGAATGGAATGGAATAATAGAGTTGGAAGGAACCTTGGAGGTCTTCTAGTCCAACCCCCTGCCCAGGCAGGAAACTGTACACCACTTCGACAAATGGTTATCCAACATCTTCTTAAAAATTTTCAGTGTTGGAGCATTCACAACTTCTGCAGGCAAGTTATTCCCCTTATTGTTCTGTCAGGAAATTTCTCCTTAGTTCTAAGTTGCTTCTCTCCTTGATTAGTTTCCACCCATTGCTTCTTGTCCTGCCCTCAGGTGCTTTGGAGAATAGTTTGACTCCCTCTTCTCTGTGGCAGCCCTGAGATATTGGAACACTGCTATCCTGTCTCCCCTAGTCCTTCTTTTCATTAAACTAGACATACCCGGTTCCTGCAACTGTTCATGTTTTATCTTTGAGTCCCCTAATCATCTTTGATGCTCTTCTCTGCACTCTTTCTAGAGTCTCAACATCTTTTTTACATCGTGGCGATGTAGGTATGCATGGGGGTTGGAGTAGAAGGTGAATTTTATTGTCTTTTGGATGTAGAGTTCTCCACATATCTATCAAATTTAGTTCATCTATCATTTTATATATGGGTAATATATACTTTTTTCTTATTATTTTTATCACTAACATAATCCCATTGTAATCGCCCACAATGCATATATTATTATGGTCTGTCATAATTACCTTTTCATGTAATTTCTTATAGTATTCCCCGTTTTTTATTAGGCGCATAAAAAACTACCAACAAAATTAATGTATGCCCTCTCTTTATTTCCATCATTAAAGTTTTCTTTTGGATCCGCATAAATTTGGGTAGCCTTTATTCCTTCCTTAATATATATCACCCTTTCTTCTTCTTCTCTGCCAATACTGTGTAATGTTTCCCTAGTTTATTATATTCCAAGTATTTTCCACCCTGCTTTCAAATGTGTATTTCCTGGAGGCATACTATTTCTGCTTTTTGTTTAATTAGCTTACCCTAAACAGTTCAGAGTACCCAGTTCAGAGTTGGCGAACCAGGTCCCTTCTGTCACTGTGTGAAGTGCCTGGTAAGGTGTGGCCTCTGAAAAAAGAATATGTGTTCCTGCATCGTTCACAACTGAAGAGATTTATCTCTATGGACTATCTGATGCATTTTTTGCTGTGATTTGCAATGAAGTTTTCTCATACCCCGCCCACTTGTGAGGCTAGTCTCCGGTGTGATATCTGTTGTGCATCTGAAGTGCTGAAGGTAGGGCGAAACATTGCCCACAATTTGAACATTTATATGATTTTTCTCCAGTGTGCATTCGTTGATGCTTCGAAAGAGTATCTTTCTGAGAAAAACATTGACCACACTCCGAGCATTTAAAGGGCTTCTCTCCTGAATGGATTTGGCTGTGACTTGTAAGGTGAGATGACCGAGCAAATGCTTTCCCACACTCTAAACATTTATAACTTTTTTCCCCTGTGTGAGTTTTATATGATTTCTAAGGTTTGATGTGGTACGATAAAATTGTCCACACTCGATGCATTGATATGGCTTTTGCCCAGTGTGAATTTGCTGATGTCTCCAAAGTACTTCCTTATAAGTAAAATATTTACCACATTCTATGCATCTATATGGCTTCATGCCTGTATGGACCCTCTCATGCATTCCAAGAGTGTGTTTTCTGGAAAAGCATTTCCCACACTCCAAACATTTGTACGGCTTCTCCCCTGTGTGGATTCTCTCATGATTCTGCATGTCTTTTTGTGTAAAAAAAACGTTCCCACACTCCCCACATTTATAGGGTTCCTCCCCTTTGTGAGCCTTCTGATGTGTGCAAAGTTCAAAAGAATACATAAATTTTCTCTCACATTCTGGGCATTCAAAGGGTCTGTCTCCGGTGTGAATTTTCCAATGTTGCACCAGGGTTGATTTACTGGAAAATTATTTCCCACATTTGAGGCACTTTACATTTTTCTCCCCACTGTGTGTTTTCCAATGACTCCGAAGATCTGAACTCTGGGTGAAACAATTTCCACACACAAAGCATTTGTATATTTTTTTCTTTGTCTCCCCTCTTTGTGTTTTCTCATGACTCCGAAGAGATGAACTCTGAGTGAAACATTTCTCACACTCAAAGCACGTGTAAGATTTTATTCCTGAATGAATCTTCTCATGTAGCAGAAGAGCTGAGCTATGAGAAAAGCTCTTCCCACATTCCCAACACTTGTAAGGTTTCTCCGCTGTGTGAGTCCTCTCGTGCTTTCTGAGAGTGTCTTTTCTACGGAAAAATTTCCGACATTCCAGACATTGATAAGGTTTATCTCCAGTATGGATTTTCTGATGTTTAAGAAGTTCTAACTTTCGTTCAAAGCATAAGTCACATTCCTCACATTTATAGGGTTTTAGTACACCCTCCAAACCTTGACTGGATCCTCTTTGAAAATGGATATTCCTGTGGGTCAAAAGGAGGGACCAGCAAGCAAAGGTTTTCCCACACTCTGAGCATATATGGGAAGTTTGGTGGTTTTCTGGAGTGTTGCTTGTGTCTGACGGGAGATCCAAGGGTTTCTCATACTCCATACTTGTTGGCGGCTGCTGCCTTGTGCTGATTTTCTATAGTTTTGTTGTAGTCGACTTGCAGGTAAAGGTTGGATCACAAAATTTTATTTCTGTTAGGAAAAAAAAAGAAATGGAGAATAATATTTCCTTTTGAGAAAGGTAGGGAATTACAAAATCCTAGAAGGGACCATAACGGTCTTCAAGTCCAACGCTCAGAACACCTGGACAAAATCTCCAGTGATGGAGCCCTTACATCTCTTGGAGGCAAAATCTTCTGTTGTTGTAGTTGTTAAGTGATTGTGTGTGTTGTTAAGTGAAGGAAGACCCAGGGAAGAACTGCAGGGGGGCCTCAAGTGGGGTGGGGGAGACCCTGGAGATCCAGTGCAGGCCATGCATTAATTAAGAGAGCTGCAGCCACCCCCAGAAGTCTCAGTCCGCTCAATGAGGCAGAAATGCCAGGGTGGTGCGTTAAGCAGAAGCCTGCGGCCTTCAGCCATTTCAGCCATCTGCCACTGACCCCAAGCCTGGACTTCAGCCCAGTGTCACTGGTGCCACTGGGAAATGCGGCCTTAATCCCCAGTCCGGTGGCCTTTGCAGCCTTGTGCCACTCTCCAAGCCACATGTTCCATGCTGTTTCTAAGCACCATCGACCAAAGCATCTCTAAGCTTGTCCAGGACCCCCTCAAGTCAAATACAGACTCTGCTGGGATTCCAATGGTCTCCCCTGATCCCCCTGCCCCGACAAACCTGACCTTCTTATCTGGGACTTCATCCACTTAATGACCAGTGAAATCACTTAACAACTGCAACAGTGAGTGCAGAATTACACTAATTGAGCAAAGCCATCATGTGATACCTCACATAATGACCACTTTGTTAAGCAAGCGAGATTCCAACCCCAACTGTAGTCATAAGTCAAGGACTTCATACAGGCAACCCAAAAGGTTAAGGCATCACAGAAGCCAAAGAGGAGGAAAGAGAGCTGAGATTAGTGTAAACAACCCATTTTTTTCTCCCCTTTTCTTATAGGCAAAACAAGGAAAAATATAAAGTTTAGAAATTATACCCAGCTTTTTAAAGCAGAAGCAAAGTAAACATTAGGATAAAACAAACTATTTCATTTTTAGCCTTTTTCCTTTGAGTTCAAAGAATCTCTTGCAGATAAAAACAAGAGCTCAACTCAAACCCCAAACCCTCCCCTCCCCATTGCAAAGAGGTCAGTCTGAGTTAAGACCACATTACAAACCTCAATAAATGGTTTAAAGGTCCGTTTATTCGGAGGAATAAAGGAGGAAATAGAGCTGAGATTAGTGTAAACAACCCATTTTCTTCTCTCCTTTTCTTGCTTTTTCTGATTATTCCACTTATGAGCTCCATCCCATCATGACTAGTTGATCCTGATTTCCTCATGACATGTTTCCTCTGCCTGCATGGATCCATTTCACAGCTCAGTCTCTTCCTCTTGGGAAGACCATGCAACTTTCCTTCGGGCTCTTTATTTATTTGTTGTTTAAATTTATTTGCCACCTATCTTGCTGAGGGGCTACTCTGGGGCACTTATAACAGTAAAAATGCTGAAATGAATATGTGTAAACATAACAGTATCAAAGTACTGAAATGATGAACAATGGGATAAACAATGAAGGTACAGTAATGTCAAATTAAAAGTGGATGGGGGTGGGTAGGTGAAGAGTGTAGGGAGCAGGTGGGCTTTGCTATTATTCTAGTAGCCACCTCCAATGTCATTTATTTTGGGGTTAAGACAACACCATCTATGCCAGCCCTCCCTCCTCTCCGACTGCCCCATAGGGGTCCTTCAGTCAGAAGTGCCACACCTGCCTTGGGCAAGAAGGGAGGGGAACAGAGCAGCTGCTGGCTTCTGCATCAAGAGTTTCCCTCTGGAGCCACATCTGGCTTCTTCCACAAACCACAATTTAGCACAAGACACAGGACTGTCTGAGTTGAGGTCATCCCTCTGCATTTCCTACCCGGATGGGAGAAGCCGGTCGATTTCCCATCCCTGGAGGATGGGAAAATGGCTCCAATTGGGCGTTTCATCCTTCTCCAGGTGCAACAGCCAAGTTATACATACAAGGACCATGGCAGATCAAGGCAAATAAAGGTATAGAGAGCTTCTCCAAAGTGAAATGAAAGATATTTGTCATCTCAAGCAGCCCCTTCCCCCCCCCCAAAAAGCTGAACTGAGACATGGTTTAATGCTGGGGTAAATTCACCCCAAATCCCCAATAAAGGATCCAGAGAATTTCAATTAAAGTTTAAGCTTTAGAACAAGGTCTAAGTGCTTCAGTTTACTAAACTGTAATTGCAAGTGCATTATGGAACAAGGCATAAACAAGAACATTTTGCACATATAATTAAAAATGTATCATGTGAAAGAAGACCCAATTTGGGCTGACACAACAGTTTCCCATGACCGGACAGCCCAATCACGAACCAAGTCCCCAGGCAGCCCCTTTCGGCTTCAAGGTGCATCCACCCAGCTCCGTGGCCTTCTGCTCAGGGCTCCACCTCCAACTCGGCCAAGAGCGGCTTCTTCAACAAATATTGATTAAAGGAATTACGCCTTCACCCAGCACCTTGGCAGCATTGCACTTTTGACAAAGAAAGATTAAAAAAGCTTATTCCCCAAACCAAGATTTATTTACTCACCTTTAAATTTATAGTTAAGAGGTCTCTGGGTTACTTGTTCTCCCTCTAAGTCAAGGCCAGGGATGACCTTCACCACTGACCGGTTAAATACTGTCTGACTGAATGGCCCTTTGTGCACGAAGCTGCTTCTCCAACCAAGCCACAATTTCCAAATTCTCTCCTGCAAAGACAAATAAAAGAGGTTCAGAAGCCGACAATAATCTATAAATGACCTGGAAGAGATAGAAGATACAATACAAATAATGGAGATACAATCATGATTCAAGAAGATCTTGATAAGCCAAAATGGAAGAATCTAGCAAGATGAAGCCCAACAGGGAGCAATGCAACCTTCTGGCCATCAACTTGTTCTAGTAGTTCCTCACAAGACCATCCTCCAATTTTCCTTAGAATTTGTGGTTTCTAAAATACCCACCCAGAAGGCGCTGGCACATCACAGCCTCTTCTGGGCAAAACAAGGAAAATATAAAGGTTAGAAATTATACCCAGCTTTTTAAAGCAGAAGCAAAGTAAACATTAGCATAAAACAAACTATTTCATTTTTAGCCTTTTTCCTTTGAGCTCAATTGAGCTTGTAGATAAAAACGAGCTCAACTCAACTAATTTAAACCTTTTATTCCCCTCCAAACCCTCCCCTCCCCATTGCAAAGAGGTCAGTCTGTGTTAAGACCACATTACAAACCTCAATAAATGGTTTAAAGGTCTAGGGCTCGCTGGCTTAGAAGAGTGAGGAAAATTCTCAGGAACTACTCTCACCCTGGTCATTACTTCTTTACCCTCCTACATCAGGAAGGAGATATAGAAGTATAGCCAGGAGCACAAACAGGCTGAGGAACAGTTTTTATCCGTGGGCTGTCAAGACTCCTGAATGAGAAATAACACCATAACTACGTAGTATGATGGACTGCAGGGCCGGCGCAATGTGTAACATGTTCACACTGGTGCAATAGGACTGGGTGTTTTGTTAATATGATTTATTGGGTTAGGGATTTTTTGTCTTCACTGTGAGTTGTATTGTGTTGGGGAGGTGCACTGAGGGAACTCAGCCAATCTCACTGTACATATGTTGTGCGCTGACAATAAAGATTTGAATTGAATTGAGATTATTGCATTTTTTAAAACTGCACTTGCGGGATATACATGCTCAGAGACCTCTTGCTCTGACGGACCACAGAGAGACCTTCTGAAAACAGCCTCCCCAAAGCTCCTTCGCGGACCCACCCGAAGCCCCCCGCGGTGCCTTGGACGGGCGAGGAGAGGGCATATCCAGTCCGGGGACGGAGCTCCCTATGCCCCCCGCCCCCAGGGAGAAATCTGCTCCCTGCAGGCAACGCCAGAGCCGGATCTCCCCGAGGAAAACCCGGCAAGCCGAAGAGCGGGATCCGCAGCTCCCTTCATCCTGGCGCGGAGATGATCTCCTGGCAGGAAAGGCAGCCTGGAGGCCGGAGGGAGAACAGCCCTACCTGCCCCGAGAGGGATCCTGAAGTCTCTTCTGAGAGATCCAGCGTCGATCTTCGCCGGGCTAACCGGGACTCGCGGAAAGAAGCGGAGAGGCGGAGGCGGGGCTTCTACTGTAGACTCTGATTCCGCTTCCGCCTTGTAAGCCACGCCCCTTATTGCCGGTTCAGCTCCTCCCGCCTCCAATCTCCCCTTTCAGCCAGGACCACGTGCAACGAAACCGCCTCTGTATCTCCAATGGACGTCGGTGTTCAGGGTTCCTCTGCCCATGCGAAGAGTGTCCCTCACTGCACGGTGGAAGCGCGCGCTTTTATGTGTCCATGAGAAAGACCTATTTAGGGTTTTTTGTTTCGGAACTTCGTTCAAAGTGCCAGTAACGATACAGTTACCATTTTTGGTAGTTTTATTTTTTTGGTTTTCTTTCCTAACTGGATAATAAATGTTTAATTTTACTCCCAGGATCTTTTAATTCATCTGTCATCACGTCTTATCACGAGCAGCCCAGATCTAACATTTGTTCCCAGAGGCAACACAATACAACAGGCAAATAAGCCTGAAAACATTGCCAAGCCACTGGAAAATAGAAATGATTCCATTTTTTATTTCTATTTATCGTTGCTTTATTATTTTTGCAAATAACTCAAGGCAGTGAACATATCCAACACACCTTCCTCCTCTTATTTTCCTCACAGCTACCCTTTGAGGTGGGTTAGACTGAGACTGGCCTAAGCTCATCCAGCTGGCTTTCAGGGCCAAGGTGGGACTGGAACTCATTGTCTCCTGCTTTTGAGCCCTGGCATTAACCACTAGGGCTAGGCCATACTAGAAGTCCTGGTTGTTGATTGGGAATGGTCATCTTTTAAGATGGGTGGACTTCAGTTCCCAGAATTCATGTTGGCTGGGGAATTCTGGAAGTAGAAATCCACACATCTTAAAATAGTAAAGGTTGAGAAACACTAATATTGACTTACACAGGCATATTTATATTGTTTCCTAGTATGATTTGATTGCTTATTTGTACCCTATGACTATCACTGTGTTGTACCTTATGATTCTTGATGAATGTATTTTATTCTCCTTATGTACTGTAGGAAGATAGCACCCACCCTTTCCTAGAGGAATGAAATATTTTGGGAAATATTAAAAAAGCAGAATATTATGTTTCCCTGGATTAGAAATGTTTTAAAGATGAAGTAGCTCCCATCTTCCTGCCCCTACCCTTTGTCAACGGGCCAGAGGCAGAAACTCAATCTTTGTCAATGGACTATCATCTGCAACACAATAGGACCAATCTAGCAACAGAAACTAACACAATAGGACCCATCTAGCAAAAGAAACTCACCACATGGCACCTGGGAAGATTACATCAGCCAGCAAGGCTAGCTAAGACCCCCACCCCCTGGGAGTCTGACAACCAATCAGGATACTCTTTCTGGGCCCAAGGAAGTTCAAAGCCAGAGAGGGCATAAAACCCGGGGACTCACTGCGTCTCGCCCCTTTTTCTGTTCAGGAACTCAAGTCATGTGATCATGTCCACTATTAAACCATCTTTCCAAGCAGTCTCCGTGTTTCCAGTGTCTTTTTCCCCACTTGGAGCTGAACCCAGAAGGATATTTCTTCCTACAGTACACTGAGATCATATGCACCAAAGTCAAATTCCTTGTGTGTCCAATCACATTTGGCCAATAAAGAATTCTATATACCATTTCCTGCAGAGGTGGGTTTCAGCAGGTTTTGACCAGTTCTGGAGAAATGGTAGTAAAAATTCTGACTGGCCCCACCCCCATCTATTCTCTGCCTCCCAAGTCCCAGCTGATCTGGAGGAAATGGGGATTTTGCAGTATCCTTCCCTTGTGTTCTGCCCCAGCTACGGACCCCAAAGAACACAGCACACACAAAGTCTAAACAAAGCTTATTTTACTCAAAACTCAGTCTTTTGCAAATGCAGGCTGTTAATAAACTTTCTTAACAGCCTGCAAGAATCCACAGATAAGGTAATCACAGTCTTACTAGGTTGGCAGAAAGCCCAGAAGCAATGTTGCAGAGAATCCAAACGCGAAGGAAAGCGAACTAAAGTTGTTCCCTACATCTTGCTGCAATCAGCATTCCTCCTTATATAGGCTAAGGGAGTGGCCAATTAGCCCCAAGCCTTACTCTCGAGGAGACCTCCTCCTGAGGAACCACTCCTGCCTTTTGACAGCTCTGCGTGCCTGTGCATTGAGAAGAGGCTCCTCCTCTTCATCCTCTTCACTTAAAGGAGCTTCTGGAGGTTCTGAAGGCCCTGGCTGAATCCCTGCCTGTGGCACCACATCTTCTCCAGCCTCCTCACTGTCCGACTTGAGCACCAGCTGCACAGGCTGCTGACGCAGCACCATACCAGCCTCCTTGTCGTTGGAATCAGCTACAATCCGCGCAGGCCGCTGGTGGGCCACAACACCTTGCCACGCCCATGCCATGCCTACCAAGCCACGCCATGCCATGCCCACCAAGCCACGTCCACAGAACTGGTAGTAAAAATTTTTGAAACCCACCACTGATTTCCTGCTCAAACCACATATGTGTGTTTGAAGAAGGTGTGTGTTTTATGAAAATCATTCCCTGTTCAAGGAGAAGAAATGTAAGGACCCAAATCCACATTTGGATACAGCTGATTCTTGACTAATGGTTGCAATGGAGTCTGCTCATTATAGAACCGGGTCATAAGTACTTTTTTTTTTTTGCAAGGGTTATCTGTCATAACTTCAAATGGTTGCAGGATGATGACTATCAATACTGAACATCCATGGGTCTGTCTGCCCTCCAGCTGTGCTTTAGTTCTTGGCTGAAAGGGGGGACTGACCCAAACTTAACCTCTCTCGCTTGAGGTGAGAAGGGAAGAGGGCAGAGACCCTCACTGGAGGGACCAGGAAAAATAAAAACCCCTTTCTTCAGAGGAGGAGCTGAATGCTTGCAGATGCACATGGGTGGTGGTGGTGGTGGAGGAATAAGCAGCACGAACCCGGCAGAACGAGCTCTTTTTCCTAGTATCTGTTGACCTTCCGTGTAGCCCAGGACTGAACCTTCTTCCCAAAGAGCCTTAAATCCATAAAGAGAAAGAGCCTCCATCAGACCTGAGGAGCATCCAAGTACCAAGCGCCTCTGGGGAACCAGGTGTCCAGATCAAGGTGATCACAGGGGGACCCACCCTTTCCTTGGAGGGGACAGGGAGGTGCCAGAAGCCCCCTGAAGTACCCAATAGGAGTCGGGCAGATCCCAGATTCTGAGCACATCAGCGACTACGTCACAAAGGAGATTTCTAGGGGATGAAGAGGGAAAAGACCACTTCCAGAGTAAACTACCTTGGAAACAATTATGCTGCATTGGGCTGGGGATGAGATGCCACTTTATGGAGGACAGAAGAGAAGGAGAGAATTAACCACGGTTGAAGGCAAATGATGAGTTAAGGTGGGTCCCTTTTAGTGAAGCGAATGAATTTTACAAAACCATCGCATTAAATTTAGACTATTTGAAGTGATATCTGGATGGATATCTGGATGGAAAATAGATTACCAAATAAATTGGTTCCAGATTGACAGGAATAGGTAAGAAAAATATTTAATGTAACATGGTATATGAATAATAATGAAATATCACACTAAGAGAACAAGAATATATACAAAGGAATTTAAATATAATCGAAATTAAAAAGATGACAGGCCAGGGAGCTTTTTTCTCACTTTACCACAATTATGACCTGCTTTTGTATCTTTTGAAAAGATTTCAGGATAAAATGTTTTCTATGGTATAAAGATTGCTACAAAGTGAGTCTGTGGGACTCACAAATGTATGACAATTGTCTCATTTCAAGGAACAGATTTTCCACATACCAAGGTCTGATGTGGTTTCTCAACCAGAAAGAGTGTCCAGTAGTGTGAGCACCTGGAGGGTTTCTCTGGAAGGCATTTTTATCTTATATTTATTTGGGAGGGGGACTCCCCAGTCAGTCGACTCAGAAACCCCCAAAGTCTTCACGAGCTGTGGGGCTGCACCTCCGTTTTTTTCATCCACTGCTGCCCCACTCCACGACGGATCGGTGGGGACGGCAAAAAGAAGTCTACACTCTCCTCTGGGCCTGCCATGAACTCCCGCTTGAGCCGCGGCCCCCCAAAAGACTGAACGGATCCCCCTCCCACTTTCCCCGCTTCTCTCTCTGCTCCGAACTCTCCTCCAGCGGGAGAAGACAAGGGAGACTCTGCCCGGATACCGATGACGCTATAGCAGGGAGAGTTCTCATTGGTTCCTCCGCTTTCCTGGCTTTCCCAATTCCCAAATTCAAGGAGAACGCTCCCTGCCCCCAATCCAGACCCACGGATGCCGCCTCTGGGGCTGGGAGCATCTATGTCTTTCTCCTCTCTCTTTGGGGGCGCTTGTGGGGCAGCATCCATCGGCTCTGCTGGGATTCCCCCGATGTTGCTGGGGGGGGGGATCCAGGATCCCTGGAAGCGAAGGCCCTCTCCCGAGGGATCCAGCTCCGATCCTCGCTGGTCGAAGCGGGAGATCTAGTCAGTGAGAAAGGAGAGGTGGGGGAGGGGCTTTTGCTCTCATCTCGGGCTCCGCCGTCGTCTTGCAGCCACGCCCCTTAAAAGCCCCCTTCCCTTTCTGTCTTCCCAGCCAGAACCACGTGTTCTGAAGCCTCCGTGTCCGGGGTTCCTCTGCCCAGGCGAAGAGCGCTGTGCCGGTGGCGCGGCTGCTTCCTGCTCCGGCATCCCGGTGTGGAACTGAAGCGTCGCGATCCCCCAGCATCCCGGTGGGGAACTGAAGCGCCGCGGTGGCCGCCAAAGAGTGTCAGAGGGAACGGCTTGGATCGCGGCGTCTGCCGAGGCTGGAGAAGAGGACCGGGAAGGGATGCGGAACCCCGAGGAAGAGCCAGTCCCGGGGGAAAGTCAGGGTTCGCCCCGGACGGCCAGGGCTTCCCTCGGTGGCTGAGACGAAACGGGGAAAGAGAAGCGGGGATGAGTCCTTCGTGCAGCCGCGGTTGGTGGAGCATCTGGGGGAGGATCAGGAAGAAGCCCCGAGCGGATCCCTTCTGGTGGATCCAAACCAAAGACCCTGGAAGGGCAGTTGGGCAGGTTTTCAGGAGGGAACAGAATAGAGGGGGCGCCCTACTGTATCCCTGGGTGGAGAAAGTGGGAAAGAGTCAGGGGCGACGGGAACCCCCGATATTGGGTGTGTTTATGTAAAAAGAACCTGAGTCTGGCAGGAGCCGCACAACACCTTTACCCACCCTCCCCTCCAGCCCTCTTTGTCTTTCCTAGTCTACGGATCCATCCAGGGAGATCCCTGAACGAATAGTCATTAATGATATGGTACACCCACATGGAGAGATGTACCTTAATGGTACATCCACATGGAGAGAAGTAAGCAGTGGGGTACCACAAAGCCCCTTCTTCGGCCCAGAACTCTTCAATACCTTCATTAATGACTTAGATGAGGGGATAGAAGGGGAACTCATCAAATTTGCAGATGACACTAAGCTGGGAGGAATAGCCAACACCCAGAAGACAAGCTCAGGATCCAAAAAGAGCCTGACAAGCTTGAAGAATGGGCCCTATCCAAAAATATAAACTTTAATGTGGAGAAAAGCAAAGTTTTACATTTAGGCAGGAAAATATCAAGTACAGTGAGACCTGGCTCAAAAACAGTAACTGTGAGAGAGCCTCTGCCAAAAAAGCTAATACAATCTTGAGTTCTATAAACAGAATCAAGATCACATGTATTAGTACCGCTTTAGAAAACCTTAGTAAGATCACACCTAGAGTACTGCAACGGATTTTGGTCACCATACTGCAAAAAAGATGTTGAGACTTTGGAAAAAGTTCAGAGAAGAGCAACTAAGATGATCAAAGGCCTGGAGACTAAAACATACGAAGAATGGTTGCAAGATTTGGGCTTGATTAGTCTAAAGTAAAAAAGGATTAGGGGTGACATGATAGCAGTATTCCAGTATTTGAGACTGCTGCAAAGAAGAGGGGGTCAAATTATTCTCCAAAGCACCAGTGCACAGGACAAGAAACAATGGTTGGAAACTAATCAAAGAAAGAAGCAACCTGGAATTAAGGAGAAACTTCCTAACAATGAGGACAATTAAACAGTGGAATAGCTTGCTCTTAGAAGTTGTGGGTGCTTCATCACTGGAGGTTTTTAAGAGACTAGACAGTCACTTATCTAAAATAGTATAGGTTCTGCTTGAGCAGGGGGCTGAACTAGAAGACCTCCAAAGTCCCTTCCAACTCCGTTACTGTTACTTCCAAGGTCCCTTTCAGCTCATGCATTTCTATTCAGCTGTTTGGAGGGGTGTCTCCTCCCCAAACACCTAAGACAACACTGTCACATAATTTCCAAGTTTCTTCTCTTCGGTCAACATGTCCTTCCTCTCTTCTCTTCCTAACTCAGCCAGAATTTCACCTTCCTTCTGCAATTCCTTCTGGTTCCTCTCAGAAATGCCTCTGGGGAAAGCATGTCATCCCATTTCACATGCAAAAGCAAGTGTAAGTGCACAATATTTCAGTTTCAACTTCCCTGGGCATTTTGTCAAGGTTTATTTTACTTTACTTTAGTTTATTGATTAGCCCATAGGCCATATTGAAGTGCAGAGTTCCAAGCATAAATTATTATTAAAATCTGACAAAAATAATGTAAAATGAGATTGGAATAGAATACAATTTAAAATGAGATGGTTTATAATTTAACAGATCGGTAAATAAAAATAAAATATTTCGGTAACTCCCCGCCCCCAATCACATTTTGTCAAGATATTTAAATTTATAACTGAAACGGAGGGGGGGGTAAACAGTCAGAACAGTTACAGCTGATTGATTGAAGAGGGATAGCCCTGCATGAGGCAATCTAAGCCGTGATTGGTTGCCTTGAGTGAAAAGAGGGAGGTTCCTTCTTTCCCGCCTTTTTGCCCTGGGTGCCCCCTGTGATTTACCTCATGATGTTCCTGCTCTTCTGATTCACCTGATATGATCCTCTGCTTCTCATTTAATGTAAATATATTTATTTATTTAAAAAAAAACACGCAGACACAATTTCCTGTCAGTGTCTCTGATTCCATTTGGTCACCTGACACAAAGGTGCTTTTTTTCAAAGAGGCAACTGGACTTTGTGGTTTTTCTTTGAAGATGTTTCGCTTCTCATCCAAGAAGCTTCTGGATTGAAAATGTTTTCAAAGAAAAACCACAAAAGTCCAGTTGCCTCTTGAAAAAGGCACCTTTGGGATAACCATGACCTGGATGACTTGAGTATCTCCATAGACAAATTCCCTGACACATTTCACTCCATTTAGCTTACAAAGCAAGTACAGGGAGTCCTTGACTTAGGACCACAATTAAGCCCAAAATTTCTGTCAAGACAGCGACCTTAAACTATGATTAACTTTCAGCCCAGGAAGTGAGCCAATCCTTCATTTAGCATTATTCACCACTGGGGTAAACAATGTAAGAAAACTGCACTCCAGAGAAATTAAAATGCAGTAGGATGGTGTAAATTCTTTTATTAAGGCTGGACCATAGACTAAAACATTTAAAAAATAAAAAACCCAGGCTAGATTATGGACTTTCATGCAGTTCTCATGGAAACAAAACTTCAATGAAACCTTGAATTTTACTTGACAACCCTAAAGAGGGTTTCCTATCCTAGTTCAGAGTTGGCGAACCAGGTCCCTTCTGTCACTGTGTGAAGTGCCTGGTAAGGTGTGGCCTCTGAAAAAAGAAAATGTGTCCCTGCATTGTTCACAACTGAAGAGATTTATCTCTGCTATGGACTATCTGATGCATTTTTTGCTGTGATTTGCAATGAAAAGTTTTCTCACACCCCGCCTACTTGTGAGGCTACTCTCCGGTGTGATATCGGTTGTGCATCCGAAGTGCTGAAGGTAGGGCAAAACATTGCCCACAATCTGAACATTTATATGATTTTTCTCCAGTGTGCATTCGCTGATGCTTCGAAAGAGTATCTTTCTGAGAAAAACATTGACCACACTCCGAGCATTTAAAGGGCTTCTCTCCTGAATGGATTCGGCTGTGATTTGTAAGGTGAGATGACCGAGCAAATGCTTTCCCACACTCTAAACATTTGTAAGTTTTTTCCCCCGTGTGTGTTTTTATATGATTTCTAAGGTTTGATGTGGTACGATAAAATTGTCCACACTCGATGCATTGATATGGCTTTTCCCCGCTGTGAATTTGCTGATGTCTCCAAAGTACTTCTTTATAAGCAAAAGATTTCCCACATTCTATGCATCTATATGGCTTCATGCCTGTATGGACCCTCTCATGCATTCCAAGAGTGTGTTTTCTGGAAAAGCATTTCCCACACTCCAAACATTTGTACGGCTTCTCCCCTGTGTGGATTCTCTCATGATTCTGCATGTCTTTTCGTGTAAGAAAACCTTTCCCACACTCCCCACACTTATAGGGTTCCTCCCCTTTGTGAGCCTTTTGATGTGTGCGAAGTTCAAAAGAATACATAAATCTTCTCCCACATTCTGGGCATTCAAAGGGTCTGTCTCCAGTGTGAATTTTCTGATGTCGCACCAGGGTTGATTTACTGGAAAAGTATTTCCCACATTCGAGGCACTTTACATTTTTCTCCCCTCCGTGTGTTTTCCAATGACTCCGAAGATCTGAACTCTGGGTGAAACAATTTCCACACACAAAGCATTTGTACATTTTTTTCTTTGTCTCCCCTCTGTGTGTTTTCTCATGACTTCGAAGAGATGAACTCTGAGTGAAACATTTTCCACACTCAAAGCATTTGTAAGATTTTATTCCTGAATGAATCTTCTTATGGATCCAAAGAGTTGAGTTATGAGAAAAACTCTTCCCACATTCCCAACACTTGTAAGGTTTCTCCCCCGTGTGGATTCTCATGTGGTCCTCGAGAGTGTATTTTGCACGGAAGAATTTCCCACATTCCAGACATTGATAAGGTTTATCTCCAGTATGGATTTTCTGATGTTTAAGAAGTTCTAACTTTCGTTCAAAGCATAAGTCACATTCCTCACATTTATAGGGTTTTAGTACACCTTCCAAACCTTGACTGGATCCTCTTTGAAAATGGATATTCCTGTGGGTCAAAAGGAGGGACCAGCAAGCAAAGGTTTTCCCACACTCTGAGCATATATGGGAAGTTTGGTGGTTTTCTGGAGTGTTGCTTGTGTCTGACGGGAGATCCAAGGGTTTCTCATACTCCATACTTGTTGGCGGCTGCTGCCTTGTGCTGATTTTCTATAGTTTTATTGTAGTCGACTTGCAGGTAAAGGTTGGATCACAAAATTTTATTTCTGTTAGGAAAAAAAAAGAAATGGAGAATAATATTTCCTTTTGAGAAGGTAGGGAGGGAATCACAAAATCTTAGAAGGGACCATAAAGGTCTTCAAGTCCAACCCCCTGTCCAGGACCTCAGAACACCTGGACAAAATCTCCAGTGATGGAGCCCTTACATCTCTTGGAGGCAAAATCTTCTGTTGTTGTGGTTGTTAAGTGATTGTGTGTGTTGTTAAGTGAAGGAAGACTTCACTTAACTGCACGGGGGGCTCAAGTGGGGTGGGGGAGCCCCTGGAGATCCAGTGCAGGCCACGCATTAATTAAGAGAGCTGCAGCCACCCCCAGAAGCCTCAGTCCGCTCAATGAAGCAGAAATGCCAGGGTGGTGCGTTAAGCGGAAGCCTGCGGCCTTCAGCCTTTTCAGCCAACTGCCACTGACCCCAAGCCTGGACTTCAGCCCAGTGTCACCTGTGCCACTGGGAAATGCGGCCTTAATCCCCAGTCCGGTGGCCTTTGCAGCCTTGTGCCACTCTCCAAGCCACATGTTCCATGCTGTTTCTGAGCACCATGGACCAAAGCATCTCTAAGCTTGTCCAGGACCCCCTCAAGTCAAACACAGACTCTGCTGGGACTCCAATGGTCTCCCCTGATCCCCCTGCCCCGACAAACCTGACCTTCTTATCTGGGACTTCATCCACTTAATGACCAGTGAAATCACTTAACTGCAACAGTGAGTGCAAAATTACACTAATTGAGCAAAGCCATCATGTGATACCTCACATAATGACCACTTTGTTAAGCAAGCAAGATTCCAATCCCAACTGTAGTCTTAAATCAAGGACTTCCTACAGGCAACCCAAAAGATTAAGGCATCACAGAAGCCAAAGAGGAGGAAAGAGAGTTGAGGTTAGTGTAAGCAACCCTTTTTCTTCTCCCCTTTCCTTGCTTTTTCTGATTATTCCACTTATGAGCTCCATCCCATCATGGCTAGTTGATCCTGGCTTCCTCGTGACACGTTTCCTCTGCCTGCATGATCCATTTCACAGCTCAGTCTCTTCCTCTTGGGAAGACCGTGCAACTTTCCTTCGGGCTCTTTATTTATTTGTTGTTTAAATTTATTTGCCACCTATCTTGCTGAGGGGCTATTCTGGGGCACTTATGACAGTAAAAATGTTAAAATGAATATGTGTAAACATAACAGTATCAAAGTAATGAAATGATGAACAATGGGATAAACAATGAAGGTACAGTAATGTCAAATTAAAAGTGGATGAGGTGGGTAGGTGAAGAGTGTAGGGAGCAGGTGGGCTTTGCTATTATTCTAGTAGCCACCTCCAATGTCATTTATTTTGGGGTTAAGACAACACCATCTATGCCAGCCCTCCCTCCTCTCCAACTGCCCCATAGGGGTCCTTCAGTAGGAAGTGCCACACCTGCCTTGGGCAAGAAGGGAGGGGAACAGAGCAGCTGCTGGCTTCTGCATCAAGAGTTTCCCTCTGCAGCCACATCTGGCTTCTTCCACAAACACAAGACACAGGACTGTCTGAGTTGAGGTCATCCCTCTGCATTTCCTACCCGGATGGGAGAGGCCGGCCGATTTCCTGGGCCACCCCAGGCTGCTTGTCTGATGCCCTGAGCACAACCAGGTCCAACCAAAAAGTTGTGTATATTAGAAGGGGAAGTTCAGTCAGGCCACCCTAAAAGAGACTCAACCCCAGAAGATCAGACAGAAACGGAGGAGGGGAAAATGGCTCCGATTTAGCATTTCATCCTTCTCCAGGTGCAACAGCCAAGTTACACATAAAAGGACCATGGCAGATCAAGGCAAATAAAGGTATAGAGAGCTTCTCCAAAGTGAAATGAAAGACCTTATTTGTCATCTCAAGCAGCCCCTCCCCCCCCCCGAAAAAAAAGCTAAACTGTGACATGGTTTAATGCTGGGGTAAATTCACCCCAAATCCCCAATAAAGGATCCAGAGAATTTCAATTAAAGTTTAAGCTTTAGAACAAGGTCTAAGTGCTTCAGTTTACTAAACTGTAATTGCAAGTGCATTATGGAACAAGGCATAAACAAGAAAATTTTGCACATATAATTAAAAATGTATCATGTGAAACAAGACCCAATTTGGGCTGACACAACAGTTTCCCATGACCGGACTGCCCAATCACGAACCAAGTCCCCAGGCAGCCCCTTTCGGCTTCAAGGTGCATCCACCCAGCTCCGTGGCCTTCTGCTCAGGGCTCCACCTCCAACTCGGCCAAGAGGGGCTTCTTCAATAAATATTGATTAAAGGAATTACGCCTTCACCCAGCACCTTGGCAGCATTGCACTTTTGACAAAGAAAGATTAAAAAAGCTTATTCCCCAAACCAAGATTTATTTACTCACCTTTAAATTTATAGTTAAGAGGTCTCTGGGTTACTTGTTCCCCCTCTAAGTCAAGGCCAGGGATGACCTTCACCACTGACCGGTTAAATACTGTCTGACTGAATGGCCCTTTGTGCACGAAGCTGCTTCTCCAACCAAGCCACATTTCCAAATTCTCTCCTGCAAAGACAAATTAAAAAGGTTCAGATGCCGACAATAATCTATAAATGACCTGGAAGAGATAGAAGATACAATATTAATAATGGAGATACAATCATGATTCAAGAATATCTTGATAAACCAAAATGGAAGAATCTAGCAAGATGGAGTACAACTGGGATGAAAACATAGTTCTGAGTAGGAAAATTCAAAGGAAGATGAGAGAGATCAGATGGGGCAGAGCATGAGTGAAAAGGGCTACTCTTTCTGGTTCTTTTTGGAGGCTTAAGAGGCCAGAAGAATTCCAGGCTTCCTGGGACCCAATGCTACTTTGGACAGGCATTTTGGAAAATATTTACAATTATGTAAGGCAACCTTCTGCCCATCAGCTTGTTCTACTAGTTCCTCACAAGACCAGCCTCAAATTTTCCTTAGAATTTGTGGTTTCTAAAACATCCACCCAGAAGGCGCTGGCACATCACAGCCTCTTCTGGGCAAAACAAGGAAAATATAAATTATACCCAGCTTTTTAAAGCAGAAGCAAAGTAAACATTAGGATAAAACAAACTATTTCATTTTTAGCCTTTTTCCTTTGAGCTCTAAGAAAGAGGATCTCTTGTAGATAAAAACAAGAGCTCAACTCAACTAATTTAAACCATTTCTTCCCCCCAAACCCTTGCAAAGAGATCAGTCTGTGTTAAGACCACATTACAAACCTCAATAAATGGTTTAAAGGTCCGTTTATTCCGTTTTTTAAAACTGCATTTGCGGGATATACATGCTCAGAGACCTCTTGCTCTGACAGACCACAGAGAGACCTTTTGAAAGCAACCTCCCCAAAGCTCCTTCCCGAATCCACTCGAAGTCCCGCGGGGAACATTGGCCGGGCAAGGAGGGGGCAGATCCAGCCCGGGACGGAGCCTTCTTTGCCCACCTGGAGAGAACGGAGAGAAACCCCTGCAAGGCGAAAAGCGGGATCCACAGCTCCCTTCATCCTGGCGCGGAGAAGATCTCCTGGCAGGAGGGGCGGCCTGGCGGCCTGGAGACCGGAGGGAGAGTAGCCCCACCTGCTCCGAACGGGATCCTGAAGTCTCTTCCGAGAGATCCAGCGCCAATCCTCGCTGGGCAAAGTGGGACTCGGGGAAGGAAGCAGAGATCCAATCAGTGGGAGGCGGGGGTGAGGCTTCCGCTCTCCACTCTGATTCCATTTCCGCCTTGTAAGCCGCGCCCCGGTTCAGCTCCTCCCGCCTCCAATCTCACCTTTCAGCCAGGACCACGTGCAACAAAACCGGTTCTGTTTCTCCAATGGGCGTCGGTGTCCAAGGTTCCTCTGCCCATGCGAAAAGTGTCCCTCTCTGCACGGTGGAAACGCGCGCTTGTATGTGTCCATGGAAAAGACCTATTTAGTTTTTTTTGTTTCGGAACTTCGTTCAAAGTGCCAGTAACGAGAAGCAATCTACAGTTACCATTTTTGGTAGTTTTACTTTTTTGGTCTTCTTTCCTAACTGGATAATAAATGTTTAATTTTACTCCCAGGATCTTTTAATTGGGGGAGCAGTCCAGTTCTCACACTTGTTCCCAGAGGCAACACAATACAAAAGGGAAATAAATAACCCTGAAAACATTGCCAAGCCACTGGAAAATAGAAATGATTCCATTTTTCATTTCTATTTATCGCTGCTTTATTATTTTTGCAAATAACTCAAGGCAGTGAACATATCCAACACACCTTCCTTCTCCTATTTTCCTCACAACCACCCTGTGAGGTGGATTGTTGAGTGACCACACACACAAAGGTTGAGAATATATGTGGTAACTTTATTGCCTTACATAGTGACATTATATAGTTTGTTACTTTCAAGTTACAGCATACTTGGCAGAATATCATTGGCTCACAGAATCTTCCAGGTAACTTAAATCATAGGTTAATCATTACTGCTGGCTTAAGCACTTCTAATATTTGGCTATAATTAAAATCTAATACACATCCCACTTCCTCTCCTCCTGTTCCTCTTGTTTACAGAGTTAGGGTCTTATCTTCTAATGTCATTTCCTGGCGCTTACGTGCAAGTAACCTTCCTTATCTGAGGTTTGCCATCCAAAATAGGAAAATCCCTGCACATATGCAGACTACAGATTCCTACAGTTGGTTAGACTGAGACTGGCCTAAGCTCACCCAGCAGGCTTTCAGGGCCAAGGTGGGACTGGAACTCACTGTCTCCTGCTTCTGAGCCCTGGCATTAACCACTAGGGCTAGGCCATCCTAGATGTCCTGGTTGTTGATTGGGAATGGTCATCTTTTAAGATGGGTGTGTAGGAAGTTAGCACCCACCCCTTTCCTAGAAGAATTAAATATTTTAGGAAATATTAAAAAGGTAGAATATATTTCCCTGGATGAGAAATGGAGAAACGTGTTTTAAAGACAAAGCAGCTCCCACTTTCCTGCCTCCCCTCCTTTTGTCAATGGGCCAGAGGCAGAAACCCAATCCTTTGTCAAAGGACCATCATTTGCAACACAATAGGACCCATCTAGCAACAGAAACTCACCACATGGCACCTGGGAAGATTACATCAGCCAGCAAGGCTAGCTAAGACCCCCACCCCCTGGGAGTCTGACAACCAATTGGGATACTCTTTCTGAGCCCCAGGAAGTTCAAAGCCAGAGAGGGCATAAAACCCGGGGACTCACTGCGTCTCACCCCTTTTTCTGTTCAGGAACTCAAGCCATGTGATCCTGTCCACCATTAAACTATCTTTCCAAGCAGTCTCCATGTTTCCCGTGTCTTTTTCCCCACTTGGAGCTGAACCCAGAAGGATATTTCTTCCTACAGGTGGACTTCAGTTTCCAGAATTCATGTTGGCTGGGGAATTCTGGGAGTAGAAATCCACACATCTTAAAATGGTAAATGTTGAGAAACACAGATATTGACTTACACAGGCATATACCATTTCCTGTTCAAACCACATGTGTATTTGAAGAGTGTGTGAGTGTGTTCATGAAAATCATTCCCTGTTCAAGGACAAGAAATGTAACTGACCCAAACTTAGTCTCTCTCGCTTGAGGTGAGAAGGGAAGAGGGCAGAGACTCTCACTGGAGGGACCAGGAAAATAAAAACCCCTTTCTTCGGAGGAGGAGCTGAATGCTTGCAGATGCACATGGGTGGTGGTGGTGGAGGAATAAGCAGCACGAACCCGGCAGAACGAGCTCTTTTTCCTAATATCTGTTGACCTTCCGTGTAGCCCAGGACTGAACCTTCTTCCCAAAGAGCCTTAAATCCATAAATAGAAAGAGCATCCATCAGACCTGAGGAGCATCCGAGTACCAAGCGCCTCTGGGGAACCAGGTGTCCAGATCAAGGTGATCACAGGGGGACCCACCCTTTCCTTGGAGGGGACAGGGAGGTGCCAGAAGCCCCCTGAAGTACCCAATAGGAGTCGGGCAGATCCCAGATTCTGAGCACATCAGCAACTATGTCACAAAGGACATTTCTAGGGAATGAAGAGGGAAAAGACCACTTCCAGAATAAGATACCTTGGAAAACATTATGCTGTCTTGGGCTGGGGATGAGATGCCACTTTATGGAGGATAGAGGAGGAGAGAATTAACCACGGTTAAAGTCAAATGATGAGTTAAGGTGGGTCTCCTTTAATGAAGCTAATGAATTTTACAAAACCATCGCATTAAATTTAGACTATTTGAAATGATATCTGGATGGAAAATAGAGTAATTGGTTCCAGATTGACAGGAATTGACAAGAAAAATATTTAATGTAACATGGTACATGAATAATAATGAAATATCACAGTAAGAGAACAAGAATATATACAAAGGAATTTAAATGTAATCGAAATTAAAAAGATGACAAGCTTTATCTAATAACACCCAGGTCAGGGAGCTTTTTTCTCACTTTACCACAATTATGATCTGGTTTTGTATTTCTTGAAAAGATTTCAGGATAAAATGTTTTCTATGCTACAAAGATTTCTAGGGCTCCTCTCTGTGGGACTCACAAATGTATGACAATTGTCTCATTTCAAGGAACAGATTTTTCACATACCAAGTGAATGGTATGTCAATGGTATGTGGTTTCTCAAGTGGAAAGAGTGTCCAGTCGTGCGAGGACCTGGTGGGTTTATCTGGAGAGCATTTTTATCTGCAGACATTTCAGAAAAAAAATTCCCAAATATCACACCCAAAATTTCTTTATCTTGTCGATCCTTTAGGGCCTCCATACATCTCAGTGAAGTCAGTATTTTGCAATATTCCAAGCATTTATACAATAAGCCCTTTTTTGAATGTTCCTGGGTTTATTAAGGTTTCATTACAAGCAATCTTTGACTTTGGGCCTTGGTGGTGCAGCAGACTAAAGTGCTGTTAAGTAGCACTTAGCTGCCAGCTGCCTGCAATTACTGAGAGTTCAAATCTCACCAGGCTCAAGGTTGACTCAGCCTATCATCCTTCCGAGGTAGGTAAAATGAGGATCCAGATTGTGGGGGCAATAAGCTGACTTTGTATAAAAAGAACACTGCTTAGGGGGGGCCAAAAGCCCTACTAAGCAGGTATATACAAAAGTATAAAGGCTATTGCTTAATGCATTGTAAGCCACCCTGAGTCTCCGGAAAAGGGCGGCATATAAATTGAACCAATTAATTAATTAATTCATTCATTCATTCATTCTGGCCATTGTAAAATGCCCCCCCATCCCAAATTATGTGACCACATTATGAGCACTTGGCAACTGGCTGGCTTTTGCAACCAGTTCCAGGATCTTGCAGCCATCCAATCACAATTTGAATTTTTTTTTTTTTGCCAATTTTTGCAGAAAAAACAAATTTGGAAGAACGGCTTTCTACTTGGGACTGCTTATTGGTTATTGACCATAAAAAATGTCATCAAATCAGATCCTGTTATATGGGCACCACAATGTATGACTGTATAAACCTATTACCAGGAATCTGTTCCTAATTGCAATCATAAGTCAAGGACTAGCTGTGCTCTGCAAAACAATCTACACTCACTTGTAACTCTTTTCTCTTGTGAAATGTCTGGTAAATTACTAATGTGCTGCTTTGTGAGCCAAACCTTCTTACACTGCCAAGATAGATGCACTTTTGTTTAATTATGTACTTCCTGATTGTAGTTAAGGTTATGTGACTAGAAAAAGAATTTTCCTCAAAAAAAACCAATTGTAGAATTCCTCTTCTGTCCCTGATGATCCTGGTAAATGCTAAGATGTGATTGTTGAAAAAAGTGTTCCCAAAATTGTCCAGAGGGTGACCTTAAAGTATGATATTGTTGGGAAGAAATTTCCCTGGTTTGTTCCTAGCTGGGACACACACAGATGCTGAGAAGAAATGGATGCAGAAGCCAGCTGCCAGAAAGTGGAATTCTTTTAATGTAGGAAGGCAAGAAGCAAAAAGTGACACAGCTGGAGGGTTCCTGGCTTGGGGAGTGTGTCTCTGAGCTTTTTATGCTTAATTCCCCTTTGAAGCTCCTGCAGCTTGATGGGTTTATTTGTATTTCTGATTGCCCTGGGTTTTGTTTTCCTGTTTTCCTGTTTTAAAGGGGAAGGGCTGGCTTGAGTCTCTTGGAACTGTTTTCTGACGTTTTGGGGTATACTTCCCACATTATTATTCTCTTTCAGCCCAGGAAGTGAGCTAAGCCTTCCCTTCATGTTATTCACCAGTGTGGTGAACAATGTGGGAAAAGTGCACTCTAGAGAAATAAACAACAGGCTGTAGGAGAGTAGAAATGCTTTTATTAAGGCTGCACAATGGACTGGAAAGATATTTTTAAAAACCCCACTCCAGAAGTTAACAAACTTCCATACAATCACAACAGAAACAAACCTTTATTATGTCACCCCAAACCTTCTTTTCACTAGACTAAACTGTTGCAATATTTTTAGGATCAGACTCAATAATAATAATTAGAATTAGAGGTTCAAATATAGTTCTCTTTAATCATAGTAGGCATTCTATATTCACTGAATATTCACAGATAGAAGCAAGGAAAAATGGCGAAGGTGGCTCCTTATATATACAAAGGGTGGAGCCAAGAGTGGGAGTGGTGAATTATGAATACATTAAGAAACAAAGAATAAGTTAACCCCTGATATCCCATATATACATTATTTACACATTAGGGAATAAGGCATTTACATCTGACAAATCCCCCTCTAAATGCCGGTTCGCTATACAACACCAATTACATTCAGATTCAGGACAATATAAGACATACAATTTGGAAGTTAAGTATTTGTGCTGTTTAGAAGGTAAAGGTTTCGTCAATATGTCAGCTAATTGTTCAGAGGTATCGCAATGTACTGCTTTGATAAATCCATCTTGGGACAATTGTCTCACATGCTTAAATTTTATATCTATATGCCTAGATCTTTGTCCAATGGCATCGGACCTAGATATTTCAATGGCCGCTTTATTGTCCTCATGCATAACAAAAGGCAAAGCAGGTTTTTTCCAAACATCTGAAATTAAATCATTAAACCATACAAGGTTATTTGCAGCTTTGGATAAACAAACATATTCCGCTTCTGTGGTTGAAGTGGCTACCAATTCTTGTTTACCAGTGTACCAGTAAACTGGACAGTCATTTAACAGGAAAACATAACCAGAAGTACTTTTTCTGCATGATGTATCTCCAGCCCAATCCGCATCTGCGTAACATGTAAGTCTTGGTTCTTTGTTATCACTAGGCTCTAATACTAGACAAAAGTCTAATGTATTTTTCAGGTATCTTAAAATTCTTTTGACAGCTTCCCAGTGGTACATTGTTGGTTTACTAACGTGCCTTGATAATAAATTGAGTGGTAATGCAATATCTGGCCTGGTCCAATTGGATATATAAAGAAGTGAACCTATGACTGATCTATAGAATGTATTATCCTTGAATTCAGGGGAAGATTCATCAGTATTTCTGAGGAAATCAGTTTGCATAGGAGTGTCACAGGGTTTGGCATTGTTTAAATTGCATTTGTTTAGAAGTTCAATAATCTTATCTTTCTGGGTAAGTTTGAAACCCCTTCTAGTTTTGTTAATTTGTACACCAAGGTATTTGTTTATTTTACCTAGAGATTTTAACGTGAAATGTTCATTTAACTTGTTTACAAAGATTTCTCTTCTCTCTCTGTGTTTTCCTATATATAAAATATCATCTACGTAAATCAATACAAACTCAACGTGATCATCACTCTTTTTGACAAAAAAACAGTTATCAGCAGTGGTAGCGTTGAAATCCATGGTTTTAAGTACTTTTACCAAGCAATCGTACCATCTTTTGCCAGATTGCTTTAACCCGTATAAACTCTTGTTCAATAGCCAAATTTCATTTTTATTAGTGTATTGACTGTGAGGTGCTCTTACGTATATTTCCTTATCTAGTTTTGCGTGTAGGTACGCAGTCTGTATGTCATATTGAAATACATCAAGATTGAGAGTGGATGCTACTACTAGAGCTGTTTTCACACTCTCTGTCCTTACTGTGGGGGAGTATGTGTCAGTATAGTCCTCCGGATATTTTTGTGCATAACCTTGTGCAACCAATCTAGCTTTGTATAAGGTATTGCCTCCTTCTAGATTCTTAATTTTATAAATCCACCTGGTACCAATAATTGTTTTATCCTTGGGTGCAATCGCAGGTGTGAATACATTTAATCCTTGCAAACTCTCCATCTCTTTTTTCATAGCTAGTTCCCATTTTTCTTTTTCTTCACGAGGTAGTTTTAATACTTCCTCATATGTATTAGGTGTTATTTGTTCACCATCCATGTGCATTATGTAATCTTTGTATTTATTTGGTATTTGATTTCTGTTGTTCCTAATAGCTCTTTCTGGTTTGCTATGGTAGTCATGTAAATATCTTGCTTCCTTTTTTGTTAATGTGTCTGTCTTTATTTTGTGTTGGCTATTTGTCCATGTTTTGGTTTTTCTTTTACTTTTGTTAATATTTTGATTTTCTATCGTCCCTTCCTCACGAGATTTGGTATCCTTGCATTTACTTGGAAATATTTCATTAAGATGTAATTTAGACCAGTTGGCCTGTTCATGGAACACAGCTGTTCTGGAAACTATAAATTTATTATTATTATCAATGAATCTGTACCCTTTGGTGCCAGTTTCATATCCCATAAATCTTAATCTTCTGGATACGTTTTCTCCTTTTCTCCTCAATTGTTTGGGTATGTGTACGTCTGCAGTGACCCCAAATATGTGCATGTGTGCTAATTTTGGTTTCCTATTATACATCACCTCATATGGTGTCTTATTCACAATACTGGACCAGGTTCTATTTTGAGTGTAATTTGAATAATGTAGGGCTTCTGACCAAAATTGTTTGCCCAAACCAGCATCCTCTAATGTGCATCTAATCATGGTTTGTAATGTGGAATTCTTTCTCTCTGCAATCCCGTTTTGGAACGCAGAAAATGGACTAGACGTGTAATGTAACATTCCTCTATCCTTTAACCATTGGGAGAATTCCTTAGACATGAATTCACATCCCCTATCTGTCATAATTTGTTTTATTCTGATATTATGTTGTGTTTCTATGCGTTTGTAAAATTCCTTAAATTTTTGAAAGGTTTCATCCTTGTGTTTTAATGTGTAAACAAAACCATAGCGACTGTAATCGTCTACTATTGTTAGGAAGTAACGTTTTCTATAAGTGATTGATGGAGTTAATGGACCAACTAAGTCCATGTGTACTAAGTCAAAAATTTTGTTAGTTGATCTGGTGGATTTTTTTGGTCTGGGACTAGTCTTTAATTTAGTAGATTTACATACTGAGCATTCCAAATAATTTTCACAATTTTTTATTTTGACACCTTCTGCGTGTTCAGTCATTTTTTGTACTACAGGAAAACTTGCATGTCCTAACTTCCTATGTAAGATATGAGCACACTCGTCATGAATTGGTTTACCTATTTTTGGTTTCTTCTCATTGTGTGTATCTGTGTGATCATGAGATATTTTACATTCATCATTGTCACTGTTACTAATATTTTCATCATCTGCCTCAATGCAATCTTCCATATTTGAATCAATGTTATGTAACCATCTTTCTTTTGTTATCAGATAGGGTAGGCCTCCTTTAATCATCACAGTGCCTACATTTGTTTTATTCTTTTCTAAAGTTGCTTTTCCCTTTGAGAAAACTATATTGATGTCAGAATCTCTGCTTAATTTTATGACACTTAGTATGTTATGAGGTATTTCTGGTATTAACAATACCCCCTCTATTTTTCCTAGACCAGGCAAGGTCACATTCCCTTTGCCTAGTACTTGAACTTTTTCTTGATTAGCTACCTTTATTACAAATTTATCTTCTGTAAATGAAGACAATATATTTTTGTTATTAGTGGTGTGATTAGTTGCTCCTGAATCAATAAGCCAATTATTGTTCTCATTTGGTTGCGTTTTGGTGCTATCTTGTTTATTTAGTCCATTCAATGAACCAGATTTTCTCTCTTTTGAATTTTCCCTGCCCCCTCTACTTTCTCTGTAATTTGGTGGGCTTCTATATTTATGTCTATCTGTGGAAGACTGTCTATAATTGTATTTATTCCTATATTCTGACCTATGTCTTTCCTTTAAAATTTTGGGGCAATCTCTTCTATTGTGTTCTTTGGACCCACAATTGTGGCATTTAAAGATTTCATTATATTTTTCTTGGAAAGCTACCTTCCTAAAAGGTTTGTATTCTGTGTGATTGCTATAACGATTTTTTCTTGAATTGTCTTCTGCTATCAATTTGTTAGACAGACTTTCTACTGATAAATATCCTAGATTGATGGTGTCTAAGTGTGACATAAAACTATCCCATGATGAATCAAGTGAGTTAATAATGACACTTTTCATTGTTTGATCTGAAATCACTTCCCCCCTCAAATGCAGTTCAGCTCTTATTTTGTTTAAAGATATTAAATGCTCACTTATGGAAACCCCTGGTTTTACTCTGGAAGAAAAGAAGTCCTTAGACATTCTTGTGGTGGTAGCTACACTATCGCTGTGAAACAAATTAAACATGCATTGAATTATTTCTGAGACAGTTAGATTTGGTTTGATGCTATGATACATTGCAGGAGACACGCTAGATATTATTAAGAAAAATGCCTTATGGTGTAAACAATCTATTTTTAAAGTCCAAGGTCTTCTTGGGGGACTAGTGATAAAGAATAGTAAATTTTCTTTCATAAAGACAACCTGGAGCTGTTGATACCATTCTTGTAAATTAATGCCATCAACTCTAAGTTTTGGGAAGTCACTGGGTAAGTTACCCACATTATTTTGTCCATTACTTACAACCTGAGGCAGTCCGTGGTCTCGCAAGTGTAGAAAATTGCAAAACGGCATGGGGATGCTCGCAACGAGTCTGCGCGGTTCTCTGGCCAGTTCAAGTCTTTCCGGACCGTCTACGTAGTTTCGCACATGCGCGTTGTTCATTTCTTCTTTGACTTCGTCGTGGAAGGTTCTCTCCGTCGCAGCTCGCTCGCTCCGTTCCTCTTCAGATGAGTCGGTCTCTGGCTCGGTCTTAGTAGTTCTGATGGCGGCGACTGTTCTTCTCTTTCTTTTGGGTGCGTTGGCACTTGTTTCGGTCTGCGGTGTAGGTCGGAATCGACACGGCTCTCTGGGCTCGGGCGTCGTTGTTCTCGAAGTCAGGATGGGAGCGTGCAGGTCTTGAAGTATCGGCTTGTCTGCTTGCTTCTTCGTTGGCGCTTTGGAAATTTTTAATTTTGGCCCGAATGCGGCAAAAAGCGTCTTCATTGCTGACTTTACTTGTGATTTCGTTAAATCGTTTTCATTTTCTGATTCTGGCTCTTCCGAAGAGTTTGAATCCTCCTTTTCACTTTCGTTGTCTGATAACGTTTTTCGCGCCAGAAATTTTGAACTGAGCATTTTGATTGGCTCTGCTTCGCTCACTTTGGAGGCTTGTTGAAACCAAGATGGCTGCCATTCAAAATTTCGCGCGGGATCACATCTTTTCTTTTTCGTAACGACTTTCTCTGTAGTCATATCACTCACAGTTTTTTGTTCTTTGGGTTTCTCTTTAGCGATGTTTTTCTCTCTCGCTGCTCCGCTGTTCTTCAGCATTTCTTGGAGGTTCGCGATGAGGCTTTCATCATTCTTCTGGCTTTTCAAAATCTTTAGTATCTCTGACCTGAGTTCGTTATTTTCTATTTCGATTTCTTCCTGGCCATCATTTTCATTTATTAGTTCTTCTTCTTCAGTGGTGTATTCTTCGGATTCTCTCGAAATCGCGTTTGTGGATTCGTTGATTATTTCTTGTTCAGTTTCTATTTCTTTGCTGTAGACCCTGGTGTTGGGCCTATCTTTCTTAGACATTTTTAGTTATTTATTGAGTCAATTAACCATCCTCTGCTACCAGTTTGTTGCAATATTTTTAGGATCAGACTCAATAATAATAATTAGAATTAGAGGTTCAAATATAGTTCTCTTTAATCATAGTAGGCATTCTATATTCACTGAATATTCACAGATAGAAGCAAGGAAAAATGGCGAAGGTGGCTCCTTATATATACAAAGGGTGGAGCCAAGAGTGGGAGTGGTGAATTATGAATACATTAAGAAACAAAGAATAAGTTAACCCCTGATATCCCATATATACATTATTTACACATTAGGGAATAAGGCATTTACATCTGACATAAACATAATCAATTCCTGCAACTGTTCTTCATGTGTTTTAGCCCAGGGGTGGGTTCTACTTACCTTTACTACTGGTTCGCAGCAGGATATTTCAGGGAAAGATTGGCATTTGGCTCTCCTGTGTGCCCCTTCTGATGTCTCCGAAGTTCAGGAGATTTCACAAATCTTTTCTCACATTTGGGCATTGATAGGGTCTGTCTCCAGTGTAAAGTCTCTGATTTCGAATTAGGTGTGACTTTTCAACAAAACATCTCCACATTCTTTTGATTTCACCTTGTATTCGCCATGTTCCTGTTCTAAGAACTCTAAATTTATCATCTAGAGGTAATCCTCTATTTACGACCACCACTGAGCCCAAAATTACTGTTCTTAAGTGAAATAGTTGTTAAATGAAACAGAATTACTCTCCTGTTGAAACAAATTACTGTTCTTAAGTGAAACAGTTAAATATCCATTTTACGACCTTTCTTGCCACAGTTAATGCACTGAAGATGTTAAATTAGTAACATGGTTAAGTGAATCAGGCTTCTCCCTTGACTTTGCTTGTGAAAAGGTGACAAAAAGGGATCAATGACCTTGGATCACTGCAACGGTCAGACATGAGAGTCAGTTGTCAAGGATCTGAATTTTGATCACGTGACCATGGGGATGCTCAGAAAAGGTCATAAGTCACTTTTTTCAGTGCCATTGTAACGTTGAACGGTCACTAAATGAACTGTTCTTTGAGTTGACTACCTGTATTGACAAATTGATGGGAAAAGTGGTTCAAAGAAATGAGACAAAAAGTGTAAGACATCAGGATATTACACTTTATCTATTTATTGTGGTCTACTCTTTCTTTTTCATAAAACGCTTCTTGTGCCGAGACAGCGTTTTTGGGCACAGCCTATGTTTCTATTGTTGAAGCATAAAAAAGCCATACCCTTCCTGTTTTAAAATCCTCTTATTTCTCAGCAACACCCACTCTTTCATCCAAAGCAAACAGGCTGAAAAGTACAATTTTTAATCAGGCAATCCTAATCATCCTCTTTTTCTTTGGTCTTGAGCAGTTTTAAATTAAACTCTTGGTTTTTCTCCTGCCATATAAACTTAGATATATCTTCCTGTCGTTGCTTATGTGGTGCACCCATTGTCCGGATAGATATTGTTTAAAACAGAAACATCAGTCTAGTAATATAGTCATTTTTGATTACAAAACTTCTATAATGAATGACAATTGTATTTTTTCCCATCTTAACACATCCTTTTCAATTTGACTGCATCTTTCCTATATGGATTAGAGTGTGATTTTTAAGGGACGATTGACAAGAAAATGTTCTCTCATGATCTCAAGAGTTTCTAATTTTCCCCCTCTTTATGAACTCTTACACGGCTTCCAAGGGTTGAACAACTATCAAAAATTGTTCTACCATCAGGGCCTATTAGGACTTTTTCCATGTGATTTTTTTTCCTGTTATCTTGCTTTTAAGAAAATATTACTTCACTGTGGTTTCACTTGCACATGGACCTTTTGATGCTTTCCAAGGTGGTATTTTCGGGAAAAACCTTTCCCACACTCCACACATTTGTATGGCTTCTCCCCTGTGTGGATTCTCTGATGAACTCGAAGCAGTGTTACTGTGAGAAAACTTTTCTCACACTCCCCACATTTATAGGGCCTCTCTCCTGTGTGCCCCTTCTGATGTCTCCAAAGTTCAGCAGATTCCACAAATGTTTTCTCACATTCTGGGCACTGATAGGGTCTGTCTCCAGTGTGAAGTTTCTGATATCGAATTAAATTTGACTTGTAGCCAAAACATCTCCCACACTGTAGGCACTTTTCATTTTTCTGCACACGCTTTGAAGACTTTTCTCCTGTGTGAACCTTTTTGTGGTTTCTAAGACAATATTTGCAATGAAAAGATTTCTCACACTCCAGACATTTATATGGATTCTCTCCACTGTGCTTTCTCTGATGTGTCAAAAGTCCATCTTTCCAGATAAAAGATTTCTCACACACTGAGCATTTATGTCGTTTCTCACCCGTGTGGATTTGGCAATGACTTCTAAGGGCTGATGATCGAGCAAATTCTCTCCCACAGTCTAAACATTTGAACTTTTTTTCCCCTCTGTGAACATTCTCATGATTTCTGAGGCTTTGTATTGTACGGAAAAATGTTCCACACTCAATGCACTGATAGGGTTTCTCCCCTGTGTGGATACTCTGATGTTGAAAAAGATTTTCCTTCAAAGAAAAACATTTATCACAATCCTTACATTTATATAGTTTTTCTCCCCTGTGCATTCTTTTGTGGCTCTGAAGTTTAGAAGAATTGACAAATCTTTTCTCACATTCTGGGCATTGATAGGGTCTTTCCCCGGTGTGAATCTTTTGATGTCGAATTAGCTGTGACTTGTAGCCAAAACATCTCCCACATTCTGGGCATTGATAGGGTCTTTCCCCAGTGTGAATTCTCTGATGTTTCAGCAGGTTTGATTTGCTGGAAAAAGATTTCCCACATTCTGGGCACGTTTTGCTTTCCTCCTTTGTGTGTGTTTTATTATGTTGGCAAAGAGATGAGCTCCGAGTGAAACATTTTCCACACAGAAAGCATTTATAAGGACTCTGCTGAGTGTGAATTTTCTCATGTTTTCTAAACAATTGTTTATAACGGAAAGATTCCCCACACTCCAGACATTGATAAGGTTTCCCTCTGGTATGGATTTGCTGATGTTTAAGCAGCTCTGAGTTTTGAGGAAAGCACAGCCCACATTGCACACACTTGCAGGGCTTCTCTTCAGTCAGGCTGTTCTGAGGCCTAGAAAGATGCCATCTCTCAGGAAATCTTACCCAGCGCTTCCAGGATTCCTGAGATCTCTTTCCCTGGTGGATTCGCTGATGGGCTCCAAGGTGCGAGCCTTTAGCAAAACGCTCCGTGCACTGTCCACATTTGTAAGGCTTCAGTCCAGGGTGGCTCCGGAGATGTTTGGCAAAGCACCACATTCCAGGAAAGGAGTTCCCACAAAGAAAACACAGGTGGGATCCATTCCCCATGTGCAGCTTCTGGTGGATCAAAAGGAGGGACCGAAGGATTTCCCGCATTTTGAGCATTTTGAGTGTCTCCCCTGATTCATCTGAGGGGACCTTTGGCCAAAGTGTTCCCTTCTCTGCATAGTTTCCAGAGGCTGCTCACTTCCAGGGCTTTCTATCTGAGGAAACTGTAACAAGCAGAACTTTGGCCAAAAGGTTGGAAGATGGGCAGGAAGACGGGCTCCAGCATGAGTCCCAAAGCTCAGAAGATGAAACCTCTGGTCCCGGTGACTGACCCAGATTGGATCCTGCAAGCAGAACTTTGTCCAAAGGGTTTCTTGGTGACACCTGCAGGATGAAGATAAAAGAAGTGAAGGAGAGAGGAAGATTTAGTTTCTTTGGCTCTCCAAATAGCCCAAACAATAGCCGGAAGAACCTCTATATGAACCTTGGAGAAGCCCCCAAAGCCTCTATTCCCTCCCTTCAGGATCAAAGCCATGCTGGGATCCTCCATGTAGAGCTGACCTTCCCTTCCCTTTTCTTAGCATGAGAGGGATGGTTGACAGAGTCCCTGTTGTCCCCCATTTGTCTGCCTGAACTGGGAATGATCCCTGCCTTTACCTTGGGAATTGGGGGGCAGGGGTGATGATGCTACATGTTGTGAGACAAACTGCAAAGAGCCTCCATAGGATTTATATGTGCCAGATAGATCTACTTGTGTACAGAGTACAACTCATGTAGGTATTCATGGACACTGTTCTTTGGGCCAGCACAGATTGAAGATGTCTTCCTCCTACTGTTGCTTTATAGTTTAGGGAGAATGCAAATACATTGATTTGGGCAAGCAATGCAGTTTGAACACAATAGGGAACGAACAGCTTCCATTACAAAAATTGACCCTATATATGAACCTAACGAGAAAGACGGATGGAAGCCTGTCACTTTTAGAAGAAAACAACAACTGAGACCAAAACCCATTCTATGTATCTTACTCCATCCCACTGGAACTGAACAATCACTGTCATGTTCTCCCCTAAAAGGGAATATGCAGTCACCCATAAAACTATCTTCAATAGTTTCTAAAAAAGTGGCAAAACTCATCATTTTCTGCAACAGAATGAAAGCATTCCAGAATTTCCTAGGGAAAGAAGGCGGAGTTTCAGTGACAAGCAATTCAATTCTGGGGGGAACAGAAACTCTAGTCTGTGTTCTGTCCCCGTCTCACACACGCACACAAACAGTCAGCCAGGAGTTAAAATAAACTTGCAGACAATAATTTCCTTCGATAACAGAATTGGCAGCAACCCAGTAGCTGCTTGCCAAAAACTTTACTCACAGAGGGAGGTATTCCTCCTCCGTCAGATGAACCAAAATAAATTCACAAAGCCAAAGAATTGTCAAGTCCAGTTCATAATAAATCCAAGGAAGGTAGATAATGAAGTTCCAGAGACACAGTATGACTTGCTAACTGTTCAGTTTTGTCCGTCACAAAGCCTGAATGGCCACCACACCCACTTTTATCCCCTGTGGGGTGTGGTCCAGTGACTCAGCTTAATCTCTGGCATGCCTCCTTCTCTGCTGCGTGCACTTGTCTTTCCGACGCTGGCGGGGATCCAGCCAAGACTTATCCCCATCGCTGTCTAACTGCTGCTCGGAGATGCCTGGCTCCTGGCCTATCTCTTCTCCTCCGGGAGACACCTGAGGCATTGCCAGAGAGGAGGGTCCTGGAGAAGGAGGCCTTGCCAACTCCTCTTCTTCACTTTCGGAGTCTTCTCCCTCCAATAATATGGGCTTGGGGGGTCGGAGTCACAACAGTCTGTAGAGTAGATAGGCAGGTATGTTATTTCCCTGAAGCAAAAATCAAAGTGGTAACAGAAATAATCAAACACATGGAGTACTACCTCTTTCTTCTCCTGCATGTGGACGAATAACACAACAATGAATCTGAAGACAGCGGATGTGGTTCCCATTTTCAAGAAAGGAAGAAAAAAAAAAAGAGATCCAGGAAACTACAAATCAATTGGCCCAACATAAATCTTCCCAACCTGGGAAGATCCTGGAAAAAATAATAAAAACACAGATCTGCATACATCTAGAAATAAAGTTATAATTAAAAGCCATTATGGGTTTGTTAAAAGGAGATCATGCCAAACTAATCTTATTTCATTCTTTGACAAAAATGGTTAGTCTAGAGCAGGCATCCTCAAACTATGACCCATGGGCCGGATCCGGACCACCAACCCAATTTATCTGGCCCGCAGAGTGGTGGAGTTCAGTCCCACCCCTCGCCCCTCTCCTCCCAACCACTCCTCCTGTGGCTGGCTTTTCCCGACTGACGGGGGCCCTGGGGAGGAGGTGCCTCGCCTACCGCAAAGCTGCCTAGCCCACATCACCCCTCCTCCAGCCGCCCTTATCTTCCACTGTCCAACCGCACTTCTCACTTCTGCTCATTTCAACGGTTCAATGCTCACCACACCAGTGGTGAAATCAATTTTTTTTTTACTACTGGTTCTGTGATGCTTGGTGGGCGTGGCAGGGGAAGGATACTGCAAAATCTCCATTTCCACCCCATTCCAGGGAAAGGATACTGCAAAATCCCCATTCCCACCCCACTCCTGGGGGAAGGATATTGCAAAATCTCCATTCCCTCCCCACTCTGGGACCAGTCAGCGGTGGTATTTGCCAGTTCTCTGAACTGCTCAAAATTTCTGCTACCGGTTCTCCAGAACCTGTCAGAACCTGCTGGATTTCACCCCTGCATTACACTGCTGCTGCCACAAAGGTAAGGCTGAAGGGTGCAGGAAGGCAGGGTAAGGCCCACAGGTGGAGGGGTGTTGCCACCGGCAGAGTCACACGCTCCTGGGTTGGAGGGTGGTGACCAGCTGCTGCCAGAGAAGCTGCCCCTTGTCCCAGAGAAGAACCAACTTCAGGACCTCTCTTCTAGCAGCTGCCCTCTTCTTCACATGGGATTGCCTGGCAGCTTCACATGGGATCGCCTTCTTAGGCCAGGGCGACTTCAGGGAAGAGCCAGGGAGGGTTCTGATGCTGCCATCTACCACGTGCTCCCCTCCCCACTGCCGCTCTGGCCACAGTCTCAACGATTGGAAGCGCCACGCGGGAAAAGAAAAGGCAGCGAAACTTGCAAAAGCGGAGACGGGAGAACAAAGCAAGCGAGTGAACCTTCTGCTGGTCGGCTGGCCTCTTTATTCCCCCTCGCTCCCAAGGAAAGCCCTCTGGAATGGCAGCGACAGCACATGTGTCTGCGAGAGGAAGAGAGGTCGGGTGAGACCCAGACACTTTCTGGCTCCCCTCTTCACAGAAGCATCAACCTCGCACTCTCCCCTCTTGCACTCGCACTCACCCACTCTCCTGAGATCGCCCAGGAGGGAGAGGGAGAAGGGGGCAGCCATTAGCAGAGAGGGGAGAGTCCGGGGCGAGAGAGGGAAAGGGAAGGAGGGTTATTTCCACAACAGGATCCAGATTGGAGTCACCTTATTTTGCATCGATCTCTAATGCTTGGCTTTACCTGCCACAGCCCAAGTGGTTGGATTCACACAACATATGAAGCTGGGCAGGAGAGCACGGATAGATAAGATAGATTGAGGGAAGGAGGGATAGATAGATACATACATATACAGATAATGGATAGATGGATATATAGACAACAGACAGATGAGAGAGAAACAGAGAGATAAAGAGACAGAGACAGAGAAAGAAAGACAGATACACAGAGAGAGAGAGAGAGAGAGAGAGACAGACAAGTAAACACAGACATTCCCCACAGAAAAAACTGGGAACCACAAAAGCTGGGTAGGCATGGCTGGGGTGATGGGCTGTTTTCTAAAATAAAGCAAGGTCATGTGCACAGCTGAAGTAAACAGGAAGCCAGTAATTGAGGAGTTTGTCTGGCAAGAACAAAGAATTCACAGGAACTATGCAGTTGTAAAGCTTGTAACAATTCTGGGTGGTTAGAAGGCTGATAAAAGTAACAAGGAGTTAGGCAACTTGCAGACCTCAGCTCAAAGTTAGGAACAGAGATGGCCTGCAGCCAATAAAAATGTGCATTAGATAACTCCCGAGGCATTCATTAGCCAAGGCTTAGAAATAGGGACAACTGGAGACCAATTGAACAAATTGTGGAATTATCACTAAAATGTCTATTACATGATATTTCTTATTATTCCATCTTCTCCTTTAGTGAAGACGGAATAATAAAAAATATCATGTAATAGACATTTTAGTGATAATTCCACAATTTGTTCAATGTAGAAAATGTAGAAAGCTTTCTTAATCCTTTGTTCTTTGCTCTTGGCATTTTGGCTAGGAGCCCCTTTCCTTGGAGTAGGTCAATAAAAAGCAATCAAAACCCGCACCTCATGTCTGGCGTCTTCATTGGCCTCTGCACCAGGCTCAGACCCAAACTGGGGGGCAAAAAGGGGGTCATGTGACAGCTGGGTGGGAGTGAGTGCCCTCAAGTTGGCCATGCCCACCCAGGTTTTGTGGCTTTTGGTGTTTTCCTTTCTGTGGGAAATGGGTCCAAATGGCTCTTTGAGTGTTTAAGGTTGCAGACCCCTGGTATAGGGTCTCCTGCTTGAGCAGGGGGCTGGACTAGAAGACCTCCAAGGTCCCTTCCCGCACTATTCTGATGGACAAAACCCACCAACCAGGGGCTGACACTTCACAGCCTCCTTCAGAGCAAAACTGGGAAAATGATGGGGTTTTTTTCAGATTCTAGGCAGCTTTGTAGAAACAAAAGTAAACAATTAAAATACTAAGATAAAAGCAAAGAACATCAATTCTTCTCCATTTAGATGAAACAGAAAGAAAGTGGATCTTTTCTGCATTGGGAGGAAATGAGCTCAATTCAAGCAATTTAACCCTTCCCCCCCAATAAAGAAAACCCTCCACCCCCGATTGAAGGGAGGAGGCGGCTATTTCCTGCATTGACCCCATAATCCCCCCTGAGACCCTGGAAAGAGAAGCCCCTCCCTTTGCTCTCCGTGGGGCGGGGCTTCCCCCCCCTTTGCCCAGAGGCTCCCCGTCCAGCCCCGCATCCACCCGGGACCCTCCTGGCACCCCTGGCTCAGTGGGCACTCGGGGCGACCTTCCTCCGGGCAGCCCGAGGGAGAGCGGGAGCCCCACCTGCCCGGAGTGAGGCCGAGGAGCAGTCTTGCCGGACTGTTACAGATGAAAATACCTAACCTGATATCTGTAAATATGTGTGCTTGTTTATATGTCATTGTGTGATGTCATTGTGTCACTTACCATTGCTTAGTACTTACCATTAGCCCCGCCTTCTCTGTATATAAGTTCTTGCTCCTCCCAGATTAGTGCTTGTCTAATTGTGTTCCTGAGAAAGAAAATAAATAAATATTACTATTACAAGAAAGCCTACAGTTTCTTATATATGGGCCTAACCAGGATAACCAAACTAGCAACAAATTGGTAGCAAGAGGATGGTTTGGTAGGCCCAACCGAACATAAAGATGCAAGACTCACATAACGACAAAAGAAGACCTGCCACCAGATACATAACGAAAAGAATGGCAGCTCAACTAACTCCTGACAAATATACACCACTTGAAAATATTAAGAAACAAACGCAATTACAAGAAAATGAACTGCTAACACCAAACAAAGAAGATGAGGTAAAAAGAAAAATACTAGAATTAATAGAAACAACTACAGCTGAATCAAATCTGCTTGTGAAAATCCGCAGCATAATAAACGACCACGGAACAGCAGCAGATAACGAAAATAACAAACAAGAAAACTGCAAGGTAAGAAATTCAACCCCTGACTTCAAAAATGACACCAAAGATGGCGACAGCTTCCCGCCTTTTTCATGGCAGCCATCTTACCCACCTAATACCTCTAAAATGCCTGACCAATTACTAAAAGAATTCCAAACCTCAAACTACGAAATAAAAAACAAAACCTACCAAGAAGATGATTACCCGAGTCCAAAAACAAATAAAAAACAATTATTTAAACAAAACAAAGCTCAACCTACTGAAGTAGAAATAGACAATGCTATACAGGTGCTAACTGCAGCACTCGGGACTAAACTAACAATACCAGAACAAACAACCAGAAAATGAAATAGAAAATTCTAAACTACCATCTACCAAAGGCCAAAAAGAAATAGACTGTCTAAAGAAAGGCCTAGCCACCCGAAGAAAGACAAGCTGGCAATCATACTTACCTACTGAAGAGCAGCTCCCTGAACAACCCGGCTCCATTGGCAATGGCGGCCCGCCTCAAGCTCCACTTACTGACGACCTCAGAGAAGACTCCCCGATGAGCAGAGCAGCACCCCAGGCATTCTTCAGTCACCAGAGGCCCTCCGGAAACAAAGCAGAGCAACAGAAGGCCGTCTGGGACTTCACCCCAGGAGCTGCAGACACAGGAACCTCCCTCATCGACTGCTGGAGAAAAATGAGGACTGAGCATGCCCAGAACGAGCCTGCAAAGAAAGAAGAAGGAAACATAAATACAAGTCAGCGCAACATAGAGATAAGTAAATACAGACATACATCTACCATACCCAGGCCTTATTGTGAGTATCCTAAGGTCTTAAATCATGGACAGCTACTAAACATGAATAACACCTCACTACACTCAGGGACAATACCTCCAGACTTTATAAAATTGAAATTAGATGGAAGCAACTTAATGGAATGGGATCAGTGTTTACAGATTGTATATATGAAAGAAAATGTTTTATTTTTTATTGATAACCCACCAAATAAGCCTTGGACCTATGAAATAGACTGCCTCCACCACAAAGCATACTATATGTTAATTGTTTCTATTTCCCCAAGTATACTCCCCAGTATAGAGCATAATTTAACTGTATTTGAAGTATATCAAAAATTATTCAGACTGTTCTATAGCAAAAATGTAGCCACTACCACAAAAATCTCTAGGGAATTCTATTCTGCCAAACTAAAACATGATACATCCATGAGTGAGCATATCTTGAATTTAAACGCTGTAAGAGCAGACCTTATTCAAAGGGGAGAAACCATTTCTGACAACACCATGAAAAGCATTATAATTAACTCACTAGATCACAGCTGGGATAACTACATTACACTAATAGATAACCTAAGTATAGAGCAAATTACTTTAGAAAACCTTACCAATAAGCTTATTACTGAAGATAGACTTAGAAGAGAGCGATATACACAACAAAGAGAAGGTAGAAATCAAAGAAGGACTGATTTCAGGGCCAGAGACAGATACCCACATGAATGTCTCACATGTGGATCTGAAAGACATCAGAGTAGAGACTGCCCCAAGAATATAGGATACAGTGACTCATATAAACACAAGGATAGAAGAATACACTTTTTAGACAGAACCTCCCCAGATTACAGGTATAAGAGAAGAGAATCACCACACTCTAGAGAAAGACAAACATACAGAAATAACCCTAGAAAAAATAAGAAAGGATCACTATATGGAATAAGAAATAATAACACTTTGATATCTGATTCACTCAACACCTGGCTCATAGATTCAGGAGCCACATGCCATACAACTCATAATAGAGAAATATTAAGTAACTTCACTGAAAAGAAATATTATATTAAAGTAGCAAACCAAAATAGAGTCCTAGTGAGAGGAATAGGAGACACGCATATAAAAGGTATAGGAAAAATAGAGGGGGTACTATTTGTGCCCGAAATTCCAAATAACATATTGGCAACCCTAAAGTTAAGCATAGACAATGCAATAGAAACCACTTTCAGAGGTGGAAAAGTATTCATGACTAAGAACAACAGAAACATAGGTAAACTATTTACAAATGATGGACTAACATACCTACTGCCACAAGATAACGAACTAGTCTATGCAAACTATCAATTAAGAAACGAAAAACCAAATTCAGATAGCCATGATGAAAATAATGATAAGAATGCATCAAACACTGATACTAATATGTCTGAAAATTTAAACAATGGAAAACCTATTCACGATAATTGTAGTCACTTACTCCACAGAAAGCTAGGACACGCGAGCTTTCCAGTCATACGAAAAATGTTAGAGTGTTCCGAAGATTTAAAAATAAAGAACTGTAAAAATTACTTAGAATGCTCTGTATGCAATTCTTCCAAAATTAAAAACAAGCCAAAACCCAAAAAAGCCACTCGCACCACACAATCAACCTTTCAACTAATTCATATGGATGTAGTAGGTCCATTAAAACCTTCAATTAAATACAAAAAAAGATACTTCCTGACCATAGTCGATGACTACAGTAGATTCGGTTTTGTATACACCCTTAATCACAAAAGTGAGGTTTTCAAAAAATTTAAGGAGTTCTTTAAAATGGTAGAAACGCAACACAATACTAAAATTAAACAAATAATGAATGAATTCCTATCCAACGAATTTTCAACTTGGCTGAAATCACAAGGAATATTGCACTTTAAATCTTGTCCATTTTCCCATTCCAAAATGGAGTCTCTGAAAGGAAGAATGGTTTGCTACAAACCATGGTTAAATGTGTGTTAGATGATGCTGGTTTAAACCAGTCATTCTGGGCTGAAGCCCTTAATTATTCCAATTACACTATAAATCGCTTATGGTCCAGTACAATCAATAAGACCCCATACGAACTCATGTATGGAAGGAAACCAAAAATTGGGCATTTACACGTATTTGGTGTATCTGCTGATGTATATGTGCCCTCACAGTTAAGGCGCAAAGGAGAGAAAGTATCCAAAAGACTGATATTTATGGGGTACGAATCAGGAACCAAGGGATATCGCTTCATTGATAAAAATAATCACTTCATTGTATCCAGATCTGCCGTGTTTCATGAACACATGAACTGGTCAAAATTACATCTCAATGAAATTTACCCAGAATCAAAAAATATTACACACACGCACGCAAAACATCACACATCAGATACGAACCCCAAATCCACATCTACTAACAGAATCAAATGCCCAGTAATAGTTAATGATGAATGGAAAAAAGGACACCCCACTTTGAAAGTAGATCAATTAACCGAAAAAGAAGCTAAGTATATGCATAGCGATGAACATACCCAGAATAGGCCCATTAGATCCAATAGGGGCATAATTCCTAAAAGATTAGATGATTACGTACTGTCTATCCAAGCTAAACACCTGACT